ATACGAAAACCGAACTTATATTTTGCTCTGTCAGTATGTCAACCAATCTTTTGTATATTAATTTTTCGAAAAGTTTAGAACATATTGGGAGAAGACTTATCGGTCGGTAGGATGAGGGATTGAAAATGTCTTTGTGCTTTTTGTGTATCATTTTGATGTGTGAATATTTCCATTGTAGTGGGAATTTAGTTGTCCTCAGGATACATTTGTATATTGTAGTAAGAAACACTAGTGCTTTCCTGGGCATTTGCTGGAACGGCCTCAGCAGTTATTAAGTCATAACCTGGGACTTTTCTTTTGGGTAGATGTTTGATTTGCTGTGTAATTTGCGAAGGAGTAAACGAGAGAGGTGGTAGTGTCAACGGTAGTGGTATATCTAAAGTGTTTAATACAATGGTTTCATGTTCTGTGTTTGTGAAGTCAGTAAATGGTGTAAATACAGATGGTCAGCAAATAGTTCAGATTTTTCCCTATCCGACTAAGTCCATGAACCATCCTCTTTTCCCAGGGGTACTGATACCTCTTGATGTTTCAACAAATTCTTGGTATGCTTCCACAAACTTCCATCGTCATTCGATAGGATATTAAAATTATAAAATGTTTGCAGAAAACAAATTCGGAACGGAATTGGAAATTTAAAATGTTTTACTCAACATTTCAGAATAGAACCAGTCTTTTTAAGACAACACATGGTGTTTTTTTTGTCCTCCCTTTTCTCGCCGTTTAGTCTATACGGGGATTTTCCGTGGCCAGGGATTATAATATCAGTGTTATTATAATAGCCCTAATAGAGGATTATAATAGCCGTAACATAGGATTATAAAAGCCCTCCACGGCACCGGGTTGTGAATCATAATAATTTTATCATGTTAAATTTCCTTTTATGGGATTGCGGGCACCGTGCCTCTATTTGTGATTTTTTAAATTCAGCTTCCTATATTGTTTTTTTTTAAATAAAACTCATATATTAAAATTATTAATATTTCAGCTGGCATATTTCCTTCCACGACTAACTTCTTTAAAACCAACATACTGATTTATTCCAACTCTGTAAGATGTAAGTTTTATTCATTATGGGCCAAGGTTATTCTTAGTGAAATTCATCATTGCCCCTATAGTTGTTTTATTTTTAAGTTTTCGGTGTGAAACACTTCAAGATCGCAAACATATGTAGTCGTTAACCCAATTTTGAGGCAAAGTGGCTATTCCTTTAATCGATCTTTATTCCTAAGAACTTAGCGTGTTTGTCAAGTAGCTTTCTTTCCCACACTTATCTCGCATTTTATCTTTGGATATGTTCGGTCAACTGCACCCTACAATTTCGTACCTTATACGCATAATCGTTATATATTGCAGGACCAACATTAGTTTTAATGTTACTTAATTATATAAGGTTAAAGGTGTTATTGACCACATCAAAAAAAAAAAAAAAGAAAGATATAAATATATTTAAAACTATTAAAAATCAAATATATTTTATTATTATTCTTACTTCGCACTGGTTTGTACTATATATACATTATTTTATTATATTGTTTTATATTTTAAAACACGTTTCCCCTTAATGGAAATACGACGGAATTTCGCATGTATCGGAGAAGCAGTAGTAATATTACAAATTTCATATATGTGACCGTGGTTTGGCTTTTTAGTAAAAAGTAAATCGCAGTATTGATTGACCTTATTAATTATATATGAATATAGCTTCATAAGATGCCCCTCTGAGCTTTTGGTAGTATTTACTAAGATCCAAGAAGAACTTGATCGAATCAGTGCCTGGGCAAATTTAAACGGGTTAAGGTTAAATGCGGTTAAAACTCAGGCCATTGTCGTTGGTTCCAAGCCCCTTCTTAGATCCTATTCCAACTTTTCCATATTAAACCTTGGTGGTCAGCCAATCTCCTTCTACTTCTCTGTCAAAAATGTAGGATTTTTCATTGATCTAATCCTCTCCTGGAATCACCATATTTCTCACATCACCCGACGGACAATTTCTACCCTCAATCTATTCCATTGCTTCCGCCATCACCTTCCTCAACATACACGTAGACTCCTGGTTTCCTCTCTAATCTTCCCCCACTTTGACTACAGCTGTGTGGTGTATGATGGGCTCTCGGTGGAGCTCCATGATAGACTAAAAAGACTTATGAACAGCTGCGTAAGATTTGCAATAGGTGCCCCGAGATACTCACCACTGCACTGAGCCGAGATACCAAGTGTCTCACCACTACACTGAGCTCTTCCCCTCCATTCGAAGACAATATTTCCAAGGTATGTTCCTCTATCAAATCATCAACAATCGTTCTTCTTACGCCTACAACATTCTCTGATTCAAGTCCTTAGTCCACTCCCTTTTCACAAGATCTCGACCTTACGACCTTTAAATTCCTTCTCACAGATCTGCCTCGTTCCAAAACTCGTTTATTGCTCGCTCTGTTAATTTCTGGAATTCCCTTCCTATCAAAATTCGGCATTCTCCCTCCCTCTCTACATTTAAAACCTTCCTATTCCAATTTCTATCCCAAAAACAGTCCGATACACCTCACTAACCTATGTAAATTTAAATATTATTCAAAATGGTTCACATAATGACATATTTACATATAATTCATCACTTAAATACTTACTATCAGATTCGTCTTCTTTTCCTTATAAACACCACAAAGTTTATTGCTAAGAAGAATGTAATGTATTTTTTATTTATTTTTTTTAAAGTGTATACTTATATTTTACCACTGTACATAGTTCTAAATGTCTTGGCATGGTTTCAAGTGTTTTGTATATAGATTTTTTTTTAATTTTGTGCGTAGTATATTTAACTAATATTTTCTTTACTTTTTTTTTCTCTTTATTTTTACTTTTTATGTTTGTTTTTACTTAGGCCAGATATAGTACTTTAATTTTGTACTTTTTTCTTATTCTAAAGGGACTATGTCCTAGAATAAAATTGTTTTCTATTCTATTCTATTCAAAGAAGGTTTATTTTATTAACTTTTATTGGTTAATTTTTATTGCGTCCATCTCCTCCAAAGTGTATTTCTGACTGTAACTGATATAACAGGTGTTTTATATTATCGTGGAGACCATTCAGAGACCATTTAAGTTTTAATTCGTTGTAAAAATTAGTTACAATAATTTATTGCACAAACTTAAGTGATCTGCCCCACTAAGTGACGTTGCACTGCATTTATATAATAAAATATTCGATAAAAAAAAAAAAAACAAGCTCGAGAGTGACCAATAAGAAAGCAGGATTTGTATAGAACAAGAGGGAAGGGGGTATTAGCTGCTAATGAAGGTCCGAGGTAGCGTGCGACGCGACTGGCGTGCCACGAGGCCAAGTCAACGCCTAATGGAAATTAAGTGGTGGGGGCCAGTTTCCAGCTCAGTCCGTTTCTATACTTCAAACATGTACATCATATATGGGTAAGCTCTCCTCTTTCTTAGCAAACAAGTTGTCACACTATATCTTGTAATGTACTTCGGCTAGGAATCGCGTGGTGTCATGTCAGGCGGTTGGAGGATGCTTCATTAAGTACCGGTGCATGCATGAAGCATGCAAGCCTAATTGTTTTAAATATTGATTACATATTTACTTAAACATTTCTATAACAGTTGTGTAACAAACAATAAACCAATTAATCTTAAAACATTATAAAATATAACAGAATTTTGTTATGTTATAATATAAGAATTGCCAGTATCAGTCTTTTATTTAATGGGATCAAAAGTGCAATCTTCAAATCACTAAAAATGAGACATATGTATGTATATATATATATATATATATATATATATATATATATATATATATATATATATATATATATATATATATATATATATTATCTTCGTGTTTACAACAGCTATCAAAAACAAGCCATTTAACATATTTATTATTGACTTTAAATCTTGCCTTGATTCATGGAGTTAAGATCATAATATTACTTCGTTTGAACAATTTAAAAATAATAGGCCGATTTAATTAAATTACAAAATAGTTTAATTCAAAATTAATTCATACAATATTAATTATCCGATAATTCAGTTGAAAAACATTATTTAGTTTATATTGTAATGGCATAAAAAGATGAAAAATTGCTAACATTTCGTATTGATGTTTCATATCAATCAAATATATCTAGATATTTATTTAAAAAATCAGTTAAAGTTACAAAAGGTATCAAAATACAATGAATAAATCTTAATATTTTAAAAATTACATTGAATTTATCGATAGAAAAAAATATATATGAATATATATCTTGTAAATATATATAAATAAATTTGTATTCTTTAAGTTGTATAACAAAATGAAACATTAAGAGCGTTATGAAAAATTGTGATCGATACTAGAACAGAATGTGACCTTGATTCAAAAGATTAAAATCTTATACTTGAGGAGCTCGTAAGAAATATTATTTCGAATAAACTGTTAAAGTTATTGTTTGATAAAATAAATAAAAACAGTAATTAACATAAATATATTTGTCTATGTATCGTGGAAACAACATAAAATATGTTTTAAACACATTTTTCTGTTCTTCTAACACTTAAATACTATAAAGCAGTATAACCATTACAGATCGAGGTTCGGTAACAGATATTCTAAGACTGGTCTATCATTCGATTGTACAATGTAATTAAACTATAATTAAAATTGATGTTTACAAAGTTATTATTAGGGGAAAGAAAAAATTATAATCGATTGTTACACAATTCTGTTCGAATAAAGAAAAATAAAAATAAATTTGTTTTCTGTTGCATTTTATTGTTTTTCAGTTATTGTATTTTAACTAGTCAAATCCTAGTTTTTATTAAATTCTTCCTCCAATCTTAAAATTTAAAAGTTTAGTATTGCTTGAACCGAACAGTAAACATATATAAATCGCTGAAATATATATTGAACAATGAAATAGATAAATTAACTAACACGTACCACTATTATAATCTCTTTGACGTAATCCATTTTTCTAAGATTTCCTCGAGGCCATGGATCAATGGAGCAAGGGCTGCGTCCGCCTGAAACTGCTGAAGTTATGTTCAACAACGGAAAGTTGTAAGTATTTCTACTGTTGTTACTGCAACAATAACAAAATGGACGGCCTTCATTACAAAACAAGGGAATCAGATTCGTTAGTTTGCAAAAATATACTTTACAGCACTTTTAGAACCTAATTGGAATTATTAATAAATATTATTTTTTTTGGTAATAATGTAAATAATTTAATCATGTATTTCTATTTATGATCTGAATAAAGTCTTCGCTAAATAATGATTGCAAATAGATTTTATCGATCTCTATAAAAAAAGTTATGATATCTCGAATTCACGAATTCTCATTTATCCTGTGCAGCCTATGCATCTATATTTTATTACTGTTTCATTAGAATTTTATATAGAAAAATCAAAATTTTATCAAAACCCAAGTGGAAATAATTTTTATGACATAATAATATTTGATTTCTTGACTTAATATAGTATCTTTATTGCATAAGATACAGTACGTACATATTCCTTTGCAACGATGCCATCTTAAATCTATGGAATTAATGTAAGTAGAAAAGGTGAAAAAAAAATTTAATAGAGATCGCCTGTTGATTTCCAATCTGAATGAAATCTTATTTGTTTTTTGTCAAAGGTGATTAGTATTATAAATGAATCACTAAATAATTTCTTTCAAATGTTTTTTATATGTAGTTGAAGAATGAAAGTATTCGGAAATTTTATTGTTTAATTTTTTCTACTAAATTAGAATTCATGGAAATGGGCTTGTTGCAATATTGTCTTTCACTTATTATTGTATTTTTAACTGTTATTTTATGGTAGTTAAACTGTTAACTATATCTGGAATTGCAACTATTAGAATATAATATATAAATATAAATATAATTAGTTAGATTTCAATAGTTAACTGAGCATTAAATAAAACTGATGAATAAATATATCTTCGGAACAATTATTATTATTTTGGAAATTTTATTGTTTAGTTTTTTATACTAAATTAGAATTCATGGAAATGGGCTTGTTGCAATGTTGTCTTTAACTTATTATTGTATTTTTAACTGTTATTTTATGGTAGTTAAACTGTTAACTATCTTCGGAACAATTATTATTATTTTCAAATTAAAATTCTTTTAGAATGCCATTTTGGATTGTTTTCCTAGATGAATTTTACTGTCTTATCTTTTATGAAAATGTTTAACAACCAAATAAAAAATTTATTCCGCCTGTTAAACCTTATTATATTAGCACAAGAATTTTTTTTGAATTGATAGCTCACTCACATCAACCAAACCTTTAAAGAACCATAGGAATTAAGTTCTAATCCATCCATATTTGAATTTTACTCTTAGACGAGGCGCCCACCATTTTATACCTGCTACAATAAAATTCTTCAGGCAGACAATGTACGTTACCTTGGACTAATTTTCGATAGAAGGATGTCCTGGAGCCCACACGTCAAAATGAAAAGAAAACCTTAAACAATCTACTTAAAATACTATACTCACTTTTTTTCCAAATTAGACAAAAATTAAATAAATATTCTTGCCTACTCAAATCCATGTGAGCATACGCCTCACACATTTTCGGTTTAGCTCATCAGCTCCCCGCTACGTAAACAATAAAATTTTACATAGCGACTTACGACAACCAACACATATGTACCCCTTACTCCCGATTTCATGTTAAACTACAGAGACATACCACTACACTTATAAACGACATGGGCACAGCTGACATACTCTGTACCGGCCTTATGGTTTGGAAACCAGAGCAATTGCCGACTTGGAGAGGCTTCTGTGTTCAGAGGCTCTCGCTGCTTGTTAGAAATTTAAAAAAAAATACAAAACATATTATGATAATTATAGCCTATCAATAAAGCAACTGTATTAGAGAAATGTTGAATGATATAAAATCCAAATATTACATAATATAAAACAGATTAAGATATAAATTAAATTTTTTAGGAGGGGAAAGATGATTTCATTGCAGGAGGGGAGGGGGCGCCGAACGCCTAAGGCTGGTACTGCACATGCCCATCTGAAAGCGATGAAAATGAGCTGGATGAGATATTTTCTTACCTAAATTGAAGAAGCAAATGACTTGGAAGAGGTGCTGCTGGATACTATTCTTGCTCATGATTATTGAATTTTTCCAAGTTCACTTCATCACAACTACTTATTCTATAATTCAAAAATTTGTCTTAAATTACAGTCAGAAAAACAGTGATTATAATAAAATCAGAACACATTTACAGTCTATTACATAATTTTTTTTAACATTTATGAAATCTTTTTCAACAGTCTTAAGGGAGATATTTTCTGAGGTATATAAGTAACATTTGTTAACAGTATTTATTCTCCCAAAACAATTATTCTTTATTTTATTGTGTCGTTTCAGGATCTAATTTCATATTCCCTCTTAAGACAGTATCCACATCCTATATCCTCTTATTTTTTATAAGATTTGTCATAATTATTTATTGTCATATTTCATTCCTTGAAATTATTAATGATGTCTCCTCTAGGGAGAGCCTAGTCAGAAATCTCGAAGTAATGAGAAATGCGAATAAAATAGCAAAATAACTTCTTCAGAATAACGAGTCTAGAGGAAAATATCCACTTCAAGACTGAAATAATATAATAAAAAAAAATTACTCATAAGAAACACAATCTACCGAATACACCATCAATATGTTTCGAAAAACAAAACCAAGGACTATTTTTATGTTTATATATTCATGAGAACGTTCTCGCTGTAGCAAAAAAGACTTGCTACCTGATTTAATGTACCTTGTTTCTGCATAATAAGAAATTTTTTTACAAACTTTATAGAATAGTTAAATACATAGAAGAAGGTTTTATTTAACAAAAAAGTATAGTTTCCTTAAAATATTCAGCAATATGTTCGTCTCTTTGAATTCTGTATGTTCCATTTTGTTATTTTATGTTTCAAGATTTATTTCAGACGATCATTCCATTTAAAGCTAATCGTCTACAGCATTTTAAATATTTTTTAAGGGTGCAATAGATTGAAACTGTTAAGTATTTTAAGATTAAAACCATTATAATTAAAACTAGTAACTGTTTTATTTAAAATGTCCATTTTTTAAATTTATAATTGTGAAATAATATACTTGAGTTACATAAAAATGACTGGATAGATGCTTGAATGTTGATTGTTTTGAACAAAACCTACGTTTTTGATTTATTGACTATTGAGAATATTGAAGAGGTGTGTTTCCCATCTTCACCAAAAAAATCCTCTTCACCCCTCCCCAAAAAATGAAAATGCATATATTTTGTTTCTCAATCTCTTAAACAAATTATACATTAATATTTAATTTTCATTTTAGCTCACCAGAGATCCATCCAGTTTCTGCACGTCCTAATAAGCGAAAAAATTTAAAGGAGTTATGCGGATGTTGCCGTCCGGCGAAGAGGTCAAAAGAATGCTCCTGGAGGCTTCCTTGGTTTAAAAGAAGGAATGGGCCGGGGCCTCCACCTCCATCTAAAGTGAAGAAGAAGAGACTGACCATGCCATCTCTTTTCTCTTGCTGCAAGAAGAAGAAGAAACCAGATCAATTAAAACCACCTGAACCGAACGTCCTCTCTGAGCATATTACACCTTCTGAAGCTGCTCCAGCACCTATGTCACAGGCACAAGCAAATGACAAAAGAAATCTCTGCAGAAAAATATTTTGTTGTGGCTGTAAGAAAAAAGGACCCATCCTGGAACCTCCACGAACAGCTCCTAAGAAAAAGAGTTACTGGAGGAAACTGTTGTGTTGCTGCTGTCCATCCAAATCTACAGTCCGCCCGAGGCCACAGCAGTCTCAAGAGCTGCTCAAAAATCGAAGAAAAGAAATGTCAAAAAGTCGAACGACCAGTATCCAATCGGTAGGTACTTCTTTAATGCTTTTTTTAATTTATTTTAATAAATATTGCTTCTTTTAAAACTAAATGTATACTTATTTTAATTTTTTAAAATAGCAGTAATCTTATATTTCTAAAGTAGAAAATTATATTTTCCATACGCTGATTCAAAAATATATGCTTCTTAATCGAGAAGGGAAGAGTTAAAAGTATTGTTCAATGCAGTCACCAGATTGGCTTTTTCAGTTTTTTATTTTATAAAATCGTCTCTATATAATCTAAACCTAAGTTCATGAGATCAAATAATTTCTTTCTACAATTTTGTTTCTGGCATGTCTACTTATGCCATGGTTAAAACTATACATAAAATTCTAGAAAAGAAAATCTAATAGAGATTTTTTACTATTAGAGTTTTGTATGAATAGCGAAGAAAAAATCATATCTAACATATTTGATAAACAAAATATGGGTTTCAAATTGATATATAAAAATGTTCTTAATAAGATGAACGATTAGAACTCAAAGCCGACCTTTTTATTTAGTTTATTTCATTATTATTTTTTAGAAGAGAAAAATAAATTGTTTTACTACTAAATAATACATCATCTATAATTTATACAGTACCTTATATCTAAAGGGTTACAATCACAAGAGGTAAAAGTGCTAAAAATTACCATTCGTACCATTTTAATAGCAATTAAAATAAAATTAAAATTAAAATAATATAAATTAATTAATTAAATTATGTTAAAATAATAAAATCTTAAGATAAATAAAATTAAGTCGAGTAAAATAAAATTCATACTCGTTAGCAATACTTATAACATGCAATCAAACATTCATACATTATGTCATTATCAATATTTACATTCGGCCTAGAGAAATTCGATCAAAAACACGTAGAGTGCAGCATAGACGGATCTACGGGAGGAGAGAGGCTTTCGGGCTGAAGCTCTTCCCTCCTCCTCCCAAAAATGGTATAAAATATAATCATGTTTTTATTAAAAAAAAAACAATAAAACTATTTCTTAAAGTATTATTTTTCGTTTAAATACCTTTAATAGGACTTCAAGAATCACTTAAACACCATCTCATATAGGTAGTTAGTTTCTTTCTTTTTTTTAAAATTAATTATCGTTATATATATATATATATAAATAAATCTTTTGGACAGAAGCCCCCCAAAATTAAATCCTGGAGCCGCAAGTGGGGTGCAGAATAGAACTCCAAATCACAATACTTCCTCTCTCTATCGCGTACTTAAGTGAAGTTTTCGAATAATATATTTACTGAATGTCTTGAGGCCACAACAGTTCTAAGAGTTTGTATGAAAAATAAGGTTTCCATGAAAGTCGAAGAATTGTATGGAATAAGTCGTATGAAGAATAAGATATAGAGATAACGAAATAGGGTATCATTGGTGTCTTTAACTTTACACTAAAAAGTTAATAGGTTTAATGTTCGAAAACTGAACCCACACTTTGACTAGACCTACAAAGATATGTGTTTTGGGACACTCCAGACAAAATAAGAAATTAATAAAACAATTCCTCTGCCAATTGAACTAAGTAGAATTGAATCCCAACTGATTATCGGGGTATTTGCTTATCACTGCAGGCTTCAAAGATACCTTAACATTTGTGGGTTGGTGGTTGAGAAAGCCTGCCACTTAAGTCATTGTACTACATTATATTGCAAACTTTATTTAGGCAATACGAGTGTTTGTCTAATGGATAGATATCCTCTTCTATCTTCTCTAGCGGAACTTCTTCTCTTCTACCCAAGTAGAATTGGGCTAGATCAGTTATGTTTTTCCACCAATATAAAAAGGCCTTGTAGTGCGGGTAGTTCTCCATGGTCATTATCAGAGGGAGATCGCGTTCCGATTGGACGTAGAGCCCAGTCTCCCTCAGCAACTTGGCCCTCAGTGCCTGACAAATTATAGCAAACTGTGACTGATATACGTAACTAAGATATATACTATTCGGCTCAGACAGAATCCAGGATAAGGAAACTTCCTCGAGTGAATGGTCATTCTTTTTGAATTTCACGAAAATAATGAGAAGGTTCGAAACAGTTACAGTGGAAACTGGTTATTTCAGGATTGGCTAATAGTGCCAACTTGCCCACTGAAATAATCTCCTGACATTATCAGTACTAATACCAGTATTTCCAATGAAATTATAATCCAGCAGTGCTGATAGTCATTTTCTCAAAATTTATCATAGTAAATTTATAGTCTCTGATTGTGTTAAGGACACAAATGTCTTGGTGTAATATTATTTATTATTTTCTTGAGGTTAAAACTTGCTATACTATCTTCATTAAGCTATACTTGAAAAACATTAATTTTAATATTTGTTTTCAGGGTTTTTCCAAATTGGAACATAGCTTAGTTGAGCATAGCTCGATGATGAGAGCAGCTATACCAGTTCTTCCAATATGCCTTGCCTGGACCTGTCTAATACTCAATGTCTTCCTTCCAGGAACAGGTCAGTTTGAAAGCATTACTTTAAAACGCTATATTTATTTCTTTTTAAATTATCCTTTATTGCAAAAAATGGCATGATATGGATGTTTACTAGCATTTTCAGATGGAACAATCAAAATTATATGATTGAGAGATGGTGGATGGCACAGGGAGACAGAGGATGACACAGTTCAGTGTTGGCATATTGTTATTTTTTCTGTTGTGTGGGCCATGAATTGATATCGTATCTGTAGAATCTCTTGGCTAGTACTTCTTTATCAAGTACTGAACGCAAGAACATTCAAGTATTTTTGTACTTTTTTTTTTTGGTTGATAATTGAAATTATGAATCGGATTTTTTGTCTGATCCACTCTTATGCAGTGGTATAAAAATGTCTTCGAACAAACCAAATTTTTATAAAAATGTTTCTATCTAAAAGTGTTTTGATCTTCTTAAGTGTACACTGATTTAACACTAATCATACCAAGACTTAATATGTACCTATTTCTACCATAGCGGGTCAAATGACCCGACTTTATGTTTCATACTTGAATGTATGAAATATGGATGTTAGGAAGGAAATAAAAATATGAATTAAATTTATTATGATTAAACAAAATAATATGTTGAGCATTTCTATTACAAAAGCAAAACTTTTAATTCATAGTTCATCGCAGTGGTGCTCTTCCAGGTGTGCCACCTACTTGCATTTGTTGCCAAACAGATCCATCATTTTTCGCCATTTATTTCTACTTCACTTTCTTCCGAACTTGTGAGTAATCTTATTCTTTTTCGGCCACTACATACATTCGCAATATTTTCCTCTTCATCGTCAGTATCTGTAGAATCAAACTCATTTTTATTTGCAACCGATATATCTTCATTTTCAGAAAATTCATCTTCACTAATTTCTGAAAACTCTTCGCCAATATTATTTATATCTTCTAAGAACTTGTACTGTCTTGTTTGCTTCGACATTTTTCTGGGTAAAAAATGATCTGTATTACTATAGCTATCAAAATAAAATATAAGCTAGGTACTTACCAAGACTTTCAATTTTTGCCACTTTTTCTTACACTAAAAAGCTATTTTCAATCTAAAATTTGATATTTTCTTGAAATTATTCTGAGCTATTTTCGTTGAACTACTTTACGCAACAGTCTTTGGAAGAATGTGCAACTTACTGACTACAAATATGACTAGATAATCTCATAAAACAAAAAAATTCTCTCCGGGTCAAATGACCTGTTGTGGTAGATATCGGTATACAACAAGGATTACTCAGAATAAACAAAACAAAAATATTTTTATAACTGTACATTAATTACTTAGAAAAAGTCATGAAGTCAAATGTGCAAAGGCAATAAAATTATACGTGCATTTTCAATGGAAAAGTTCAAAATGAGTCATTTGACCCGTTATGGTATGTTTAGTGTTAACCAAGCAGACATTGTAGATGTAGTACGAGTATATGTTTAAATTGGTATTATTAACAAGCCAAGAAACTAATCCGTTGTGTTGATATTTTGTTGTCCTCTGAATAATACTATCTTATTGTTCATATTTCATTAATTTGTTATCCAATTCAGTCTTTATTCTTTATTTTTAAGATCAAGAGCCCTTGTATAAACTCTATTAAGCTTAGTTTATTTGTGAAATGAAATTTGTTCTACAATTTAGAATTCTTCGATTTTTTTTTTAGTAATTTAATTTGACATTCCATATTTCACCATATTTTTTCTATTCTGTGTTACTTTTATTTCAGAAAATGACAAAATATTACATTTTTTGATATAATAAAATTATAATTTTGAATCAACGAGTACTTAAAATCTGGGAAATTCAAAGAGCAGTTGAATGTTCTATTTCTGAAATTCATTATGTCATCAAAGACCAAGCAAACTGGAGACAGGCAGGTTTTAAAAACATGTTCTATTGCTGAACAAAATTTAAAATTATTGTGTTTGCACAGCCGCTATAAATCTAACAGAGAACTATAAGAACTACAAGAAACCAAGTTTTGTCCTCTTTGATCAGAAGGAAACTCCTATCATTTCACCTCTAAGATTGTGATGTTAAAATAAAACTTTTTTTTTTTTTTATCTCAAAACAAGCTTAAGTGATTTAAGAGTGCCAAATAATACAAATGAAGAATGGAACATTTTTTTATTGAGAGATCATAAAAATTTGAAATGTTTGGTTTCGGAAGGAGGCAGTATGTTAGAAAAGATTTGGAGTAGAATTTTTGGATGGATGTTTGCAATCAACAGTAAAATACAGAGGTGGCTTCTTAATGGTTCGGGGGGTGTGGTTCAAGATCCGGAGTTGGAGACCTCTTGTGAATAGATGGAAAACTGGATAGAAAATGGTACCATAGCATTTTTAAATATCATCTGGGCTGAATGCGCAGAACTTTATTTTTAACAAGATAAAGATAAAAAATATGGTATTTTGGCAATATCTGAAATAAAAGTTACATGGAATAGAAAAAATAAAAATAAGTTATTGAAAAAATAAATTACTGAAAGAAAAACGTAGATTTCCAATATTAGGACAGTTTCCACAGAAACACATAACATTCTTGAACTTATATAATGGATCTTGACGTTAACAATAAAAAGCAAAGACTGAGGTGCATAACAAAGTAGTAAAATATACCACAACGGACTGGTGTCTTGACTTGTGTTTATTTAAAAGTAATGTTAGTTTAAATATATATATATATATATATATATATATATATATATATATATATATATATATATATATACATATATATATATATATATATATATATATATATATATATATATATATATACATTTTTTTTTTTTTTTTTTTTGTTCTTTTTTGGCTTTATGACTTGAAAAGCAAGTCCTATTTTGCCGTTAAATAAATATATATATTATATCTAAAATGTCTGCAAGTTTAAATCAATTTACAATCAAGAAGACAAAAACACTTGTAGATTGAAACATTTATCATTTTTATATAGATTTAATTTGTTCGAAGTCTTTTTCAACCCACTGTATTTCTTATTTATTTAATTTTCCAGATACCATATTTTGTTATTTTTCAAATACCACATATATTTTTCCATATATATTCACCAGTATAGTTGATAGATTTTAAGGTATTTGAAATTTACATATTTTATCGATACTTGGCTCACTATTGGTTGTTAATCAGAGGAAAACATGGGTTAGTTATGATATTTGGGAAACAAAAAATGAGTTAGTCAATAGAAAAGAGTTATCATACCTCTTAGGTAGGAACAAAACTATAACATTAAAAGGAATCAGAGTTCTGAGACTTGACAGGTTGGCTATTCATTACATTACCACTGGAAGAATTTTGTGTTAAATTATAATATAAAATTTAAATTAAAGCACAATTATCTTAGAGTAAAGTAAAAAAATTGGAATCATCAATATCATAACGTGCATCGCACGCATTAAACAAAAACAAAAAACTATAAATTTCTTTTCTAATTTAAGGAAAAATATAATATAAATGTTTTTACTTAAATAAATTTTACATAAATGATGGACAAACATTGAGAATTTTGGTTAAAGTTGGTTTTAACTGCAATGAAAAGTTTGTTTCATTAGCCTTCAGTACACTTTTTTTTTCCATCTCCTGCATTTTTTTTTAACGGAGACCGTGATGATCAATATTAATGGAATAAATCTTCATTGAACGATTTTACTATTTAAAAAAAAAAATGAATAAATTTTTTCTTCATTTATATATTTTGCTGTCAATGAATAGAATTGCATTTTAGATTTCATAGAAATTGATATACTGAAAAACTGACCCATATAACTAGTTAATACTAAGCAATTAATTTATTTTCTATTTTTTTTTTTTTTTAGGAACCATGACTAGTGGAATACTTTGTTTATGTTTCGGCAAACCAAGGTTTTCTGTGAATGATACTGCAATTGCGAGATTTGGAGCTTTCTGCATCAACTTGTTCATCGGAATAGGTCAAATATTTACTATAATATTTTGCCTTGTTGGATGGGGATGGAGTATTTGGTGGGGTGTCATCATGCTAAGACTTGCACGTAAGTACTATATCAATTTAGTTGCAATAGAGGTGATTTTCACAATTATTCCTAAAGTCAAGAAAAAGTTATTTCTAATGAAGTTGTATTACACTTAAGCATGAATTTATAATCGAAAGATGAAATTCACACTTAGGGGTATTAGAGCTTTTTTTTTTTGTGTTACATATTTTATATTAAGATCATTATTTAATATATGGCTAGCTGCATTTTACATATTACGGGTTAGTATGGATTATTAGTGGTTTTTAAAATCATTACTTCTATAATTAGATCAAGAGTGTCGAATTTCCTCCAGCTTAAGAGGTATACAAATTTCCAATAGATCCTTTTCAGCTGAGGTAGGACTTACCAAACATCTAATATAAATCATTAACAATTTTTAATTTCAAGCTTTGCTAAAATTGTTATCCAAAGTTATTATGCTGAAAAATCCGGATTGAAAGGATATTTGTCGGTAGGATCCATACAAATTGCATTCATTTCGATCAAACTATTTCGATATTCGTTGTTTAACGTAACATAAACGTCATGGTTAAATAGGGAGATGTGAATATCATTTGTCACCATTCATTTTTGGTCAGACTTGGTTACACTCAGAAATTTTAATATTGAGTATATAATTATATTATATATCTTCCTATCAAATATTTATACATTATACCTAGGAAATGTTAAGTATATGCATAAACTTTTAATAAAACTTATTGAGTTGTCACCAATTTCTCCAAAAACTCTTGTTTTTGATCCAATAATTAATACAAATGTATAAATTATCCTATTTTTTGTTGTATTGCACTTTTTTCGATTTTAAGGCAACGTCTGGAGTCAACTGATGCTATTGATATCTATATCAAACAACTAAATTATGATCTACCAAATGGAAATAATTGTTCTCGTCATATGTTTGTTTGATAAGATACTGTAGCAGTATTGAAGGAAAGAACTAATGTTGCCTCTGTGGAAAACACTCCTCTCTTTAGGTGTTCTCGTCAAGTAGCTCTCTTAACCGATTTCGATATAGCAGCATTTAACAGTATAGTTGCACCGTGGTATGCCTATGGCAATTTACCCATCAAACTGATGGAATAAATAATTAATTCATAAGGAATAAGAATTATATAAAAACAATAGTTATTTTTATTTGCAAATAGAGAGAAACAGTTTCATTATTTATCCATTTTATTCAATAAATAGGATACAAACTTAAATATTAATATATTAAAAACGTCCTGATTTTTATTTATTGAAAACAAACTGAATATCTCGTAATAATTAATGTTACTATTCAAAATTGTTTAGGTAAGCACAGAAGAATCAAAATGGCAGAAAAGGCAAGCCAACCACAAACATCTAATCAAAATCATGATATAGAAAAAGGACGTTGATAACTTAATGATTTTTACTGAACATATTTTTGATAAAACTTCTTTTTAAAAACTATGTATACTCTAATACATTGGATCATATGACATTGTTATGATGTGCTCCAAATGGGGGCACTTGTAGTAAAAAATGTACATATATATTAATATTGTATAGATAAATTAAAATGTAATAAAAACTGATTGTAATTATTAAGAGTAAAATTGTTAACTAACAAAAAACTATATTTTATAACATAAATTGTAATTATAAATTTTTTATACAATATGCATTGGGCAATTTTTCTTATAATGATCCGTTAATGTAAAGAAATTAATAAAAGATTGTCTCACTCATGATATGCTCTATCATTTTCTGGAACATAGATTATATAATCTATGTATAATTATTACCACTTAGCCATATACTGTTTAGTTTTCAGTTATTGATCGAGATTCATCTCATCAGTAAAAGTTGGTCCTATGGTATTGTTATGGGATAAATCATTAGTATTTGTAACTTTTGTATTTTTAGAAGGTACAATTGATCCATCAAAACCAGCATCCTAATTGTAAAAGACAATATAAAATAGTTTTAGAAAAGGATCATTGAGAGAAAAGTGTATGATAAGAAAAGCCCCTATGCAATATTTTAAAAAAGGTGGTAGGCTTTAATTACAAATATCATTTTTTTTTTATAAATATTTAAATATATTAAAAATATTTCATTTTATTTAGATAAACAAATGTATGTAAATGCAATTTCAATATTTTTATTTTGTAAGTGTTACTACTTTCAAAATAATCAAATATATCAACTGACAGGCTGCAAAAGTCTTTAAGTACATTTTCATTTCATTTCATTTTTAAGTACGGTTTTACAGCTTTCTGGGCAATCTTGGCTTTCAGCTTATTCAGAAATATGTACATACCAAAAACATTATTTAAAACATCAAATGTTTATCTTAAGCTTGAAATAAAAATTGAATGAAAAATCTAGTGCATAAAATAAAGAATATGTGGTTTGGTTTTTCTTGTGAATAATTTCAGTTTTTATATATATGGGCTTTTGCAGCATGGCTGTCAATCTACTGTATTGAAATTTAATTCAATACAAAATAAAGTCTTCCTACATAAAATACATTATTATAGCTATTTTATTGTGATATCTTTATCTATTGTCATTTAATTCTTATATCATACAAGACCTATAAAAATTAAAAGGTTCTTTAAAAATAAATAAATTTATATTTATTGCTGGTTCAGATAGCTCTTTATTATATTGAATCATTAAGAGTACATCAAATTTATTTTTAGTAATTAAGTAATAAATACAAATGAGCAAGTTGGTGCCAAGTCTAGCTATGTTTCTATATCAGCAATATTTAGTTAGCATTAAACTATGTGGAACTAGTATTACCAAATGCTTTTGTCATTATATGATTAATCATTGATAAATTATTATGCTGTCAGCCCATTATTATAAAATGTACATATAAATTTGTTATGCATAACTCGCATGTCAAGAAACTCATTCGCAAATTGTTTTTAATCAGATTCATATTATTTTATATTTTTTTTATATACCTATTACTTGCAAATATCAAATGAAACAATAATACAATATTGTTTGATGTTAAAGTATGTATATTTTTCTTTATTCATGAGTTTCTGATTTATAAGAATATAATTTTTATGGCAAAAGATGAATGAAGTTTATTTTAGCTCAGTCCTATATGGAGTACGTTTCATCGTTTTTCAATTATTTACTTAAAAAAGTGTTATTTTTAACTAAATATTAAGATGGTTGAGATCTTCAATGGGGTAATTCACATCAAGTCAAACTATGATTAGCCCCAGGGCCACCAGAGTGAAATTGACTTCATTACAATCATGAAAATAACTGGAGTTGATATTTTTGTAATTGTCAGCAATGACAGATAATGAAGTAGAGAACCAATACTGTTTGTTGATTTAATCTAAAACAATGGATTTTTTAAAGAAATGATATAATCAGAATTGTATATAAAAATTTACATAAATAACAAAGTATGAAATCAAAAATAAACTACACTATTTAACAATGGTGTCTAATTAATTTTTGTAGCCATTGTTAATATGATGTTTCTGTTTGAATAAGCGCCTTTTTAAGCTGAATCTGGTGTTGGTCTTCTACAAATGCAATGTGCATTATAAAATCCTAGAAATCCAATTATAGACATATTATCTGTATACTTATACATATACTAAGCTAAGGATTGTGTCTAAAAGGGTTTTCACAAGCAATGATTTTTTTATTCCTGTTAATTTATAATTCTAGCAAGAATAAGCTATTTTTTCTAGTCAATTCAAAATGTAATTAAAATTGGGCCGAAGGCATACTATTTATTATTTTTTCTATACAAAATAAGAGGTGCAATTATTGGATTTTTTGTTCAATGATATTAGTCATAGTTTGAAAATAATTTTAAATAATAACTTAATTATTGCAATGAAATAGATAAATGTTAACTCCAGAAATCTTTGTTCCACATATTATCTTTTTTTTTTTTAATGTATAAAGCTATGTATATTTTTATTATAATAAAAATTGAATTTATATATATATATATATATCTTTTTATTCTTTATCTCAGAACCTATTAAATCTGGATTATACATTTAATGGTGAGAGAAGATAACAGCTTGATTAAAAATTGAATACAGACAGTGCTTCTTTATTAAAAAAAAAATAAATAAATAATAATAATAATCAGTCGGAATGGATGAAATGTTAGTTTAGTTTGAACCTATCCTAAAAGTAAGGAATCATTTGTTTACAAACACCTGACAATTTACTTCAATATAATTTTTAATTCTAATATGTTTCACTATTATAACTTTATTTCATAATCTTAAAATTTCTTTTAGTGCCAATATCTAAAAATAAATAGACCATCTACTTGCTTCTAATTTGGTAAGAAAATAAAAGAGAAAAATGTTATAATTTTATATAATTTATTATGAAATCTAGGAAATTCTATTTGTGAATTATACTCATGCTTTTTTAATTCCTCTACTTTTCCACAATTCCTTTCATTACTATTATTTTATTTTTTCTCTTTCTTCTGTTTAAATGGACATTTAAATTAAGGCATGTTTCCGTGATGATAGTTACAGCAATAGTTGAGCCATAGCAGCGTCCATTATCCAAACAGTGTAACATCTTGACATTTGCAGTCTTGGCAGCATTTTTTAGCCAGCATTTACTGCTGCTATATCAGATTTTGCTTGATAGGTGACAGTACTTGAGCATCAGTGATCCGTCATAGCCATAGTACATCGAATAGATTAGAATGGGCAAACTAGTTTAATACAAGGGTCCGAAGTGGTAACAACTGATCTGTCTTATTCCCTCACCACCCACACTTATCGTTAGTAAGAAACTGCTAAATTTTATGCACTCACCTCAATTTTAGTGCTTTGAAAATTGAATTTATAGTTCAACATAAATTAAGTAAATTAATAATTTACTAAGAAATTTTATACCCACTAAAAACAGTATTTTAGAGTCGAACCATACATTAAAGAGTAAAATAGAACTAAAAAAAAAAAGTTTGTTAAAATAACCATTAAGAAGGTAGTTTTAAGTTTTAATCCTGGTTAAACACCAAAAGGCAGTCTCAGTCCATCTTTTTATTAACTTATATTAAGTTACCTCATATATTTGTTTGATTGCTAATTTCATTGTAAGAAGTCATTTATTAGAATGTATATACTTATCTTCTGAATTTTTATGAAATAGTGATTATCAAATTCATTGCTTAAAGAAAGTGAGAAAAAAGATGCAGGTTATATTTGGATATAAAAAAAAACAAACAAGAATCACCTTCTTTAGATGTGAACTATGCAGAAAGTTTACATGTTATAATTCAAGAAATATTTAATATATCGTAATGCAATATTTTATTATATTAATAATTTTTTTATTGATACAGAATTAAATTTTAACTATAGTTTTTTATAAACTTCTGATTTTCATATGTAAAATATGTTATCATAAAATATTGCTTGCTTATTTTAAAATATTTTGTTAACAGCAACTATTTAGTTTTTAGGTTGAATAGCCTGCATAATAGACCAATATTGGTTTTTAACTACAGAATTGATGTTTCAAAAAAATTCTGTTAACTGATGTTAATCATAACTGATAATTGTGAAGTACTTTTCTATTCTAGCCAACTAGGAGACATACCTGTCTGAAATTTAATAAAAAATATGCAGATCAATTATTCTTATAAAATCATGTCTGCATAAAGTGTTAAAGTGTTTCCTTCATTATACTTATATATAATTTAAAATTTATCATTTTTTGTAATATAGTGTACTTACAACATTATATTATTCACTATTACTTTTACTAAATTAATTTTTCAAAATTTAAATAATTTATTTCAAATACTTTTTTTTAGAATATATGTTCATCATCATATTTTATTTATAAAATTATATGATGTTAATCTTCCCCTTTTTCCTATATTTTTTGGATTTACTGTCAGCCAGATTATTAAATGTCCCTCCTTTGTATCAAATTATATCATACCACGGATTATATCAATTATATCTTGTACCAAATTATGTACATATCTAAATCCAGTAAGTGTAGCACATCATACTTTATAGTTTTTCTTCAATTGAAACTGCTTTCTTGGAATGTATAATTGATACTGCACTTGTAATATTTGTTTTTTAGATTCTTTATCCAGTTAAGCTAACTAAAAACACAAAAATTAAAGTTTTACAAGGACAGTTTACTGTTTAAGGCAGGGAGATGGGCTGACCTGCCTACTGTCTTAATTTTGCCCTAGAGGGAACCATTAGGCAGTCAGAAATTCAGGTTGGTGAAATGATTTTCTTTCGCAAGGTACAGCTCCTTGGATACGCTGATATCGAAATCATAGAAAGGACTTTTACGGCCATGAGCAAAGTCTTCTTAAGCCTTGAGACAGCAGCTGCACTGTTTGCACTGCAAGTTAATCAATCCAAGACTAAATACATGAGCACTGATGTTACAAGAAGAGTACCTGAACGTATCCAAGTTCAAAGATATACATTCTATACTGTGAATGAATTTATATACCTGGAATCTCTAGTTACAAGCGACAATGCAGTGGGGGTCTGAAGTGCAATGCAATATACAGGTAGCCAACAGATGTTACTTTGAACTAGTTCTGCAGCAGAATAATCTTCCAAACAACAAAGCTGCGACTGTACAAAACCCTAAATAGGCCTGTTCTTACCTATGGTGCTGTGGACGCTGACCAGGGCATTGGAGGAAGACTTGCACCGCTTCGAAAGGAAGGTGCTCAGGAGGATTTTGAGACCAATCTATGATCCAGAGGGGTCCACCTGGAGAAGGTGAACAAACCAAGAAATAATGATCATGTACAAGGATAGGAACATCATCCATTTTATACAAGTGGGACGGCTCGGGTGGGCTGGTCATGTGGCTAAGATGAGCCCAGAGGAGCCAACTCGAATGATCCTGGACGAGAAGATCGAAGCTAAAAGAAGAGTTGGACGCCCAAGGCTATGCTGGCAGGGTGGTGAGACATCGGACGCCCACTCCATCCTGGCGGACATGACTGGTGGAAATCATTACAGGAGGCCCTGACTCCTCGTGGGTTATAGCTCCATTAAATAATAATAATAATAAGTTTACTGTTTGGTATACAAAAATATACAATAATTATACAAAAATCTTTATTTCTTCAATTAGTCTGACAATGCTGGTTTCTACAACATTGGATAATAGACAGAAAAACTTAATTTATTATTTTAGTATAAAATAGAATACAACAAAAAGGAATGTCTACAAAAGGAATCAAATTGCTGAGAATGAATACATATATATATATATATATATATATATATATAAATATATATTGATCACAGATGTAATATAAAAAGAAAGCATTTTATTATATTATATAAAGATACAAAAAGACCATCCTTCGGAAACTATTAAAATAATCTTAGTGAATAACATTTTATTGTCACTAAAGAAGTAAGGCATTGATATTAAGGCATTAATTCATTGACAACTAATAAAAATAATCCAAAATTCCTACTTAGAGAATACAATATACATTCATATTACCAAATGACATAAATAAAAATTAAACATTTTAGTTGTTAAAAAACATTTTAAACAGTATTAAATAAATATAAAAGCATTGAGTTGAACATAAATAACATGAAGATAGAGAGGCTACACAAATACATATTGTGGTCTTAGACTTCATTAGTACAATAATCTAACAATGAATAAAATAGAATTTGCCTTGCACTTAGCTGGTAGTCATCAACCAAGAAAGTACAAAACTTTCTATTTCAAATAATTTTAAAATAAGCATTTCCAGTGATGAGAAAAACATTGTTATGTTATTAGTTTTTAGTACTGACGGATGTAAAAATCAGTTGTTAGAATGGCACTTTTATTGTCGGTTGTTTGCTACAGAAATATTTTAAATGTGAAGTAATTTAATTAGGTAAATATTCATGTATATTCTATTTGGAAAACAAAACATTTTTTATAGAAAAGAATTAAAATAGGAAACAATCCAAGCATAAGTCATATGAATATTAAGCTCGATTTTTTCGTGAAGCCCCTTGATGTTATTAATTGACAAATGCACCCACCGAATCAACTTATATTTCAATGGTAAATTCTAATATACTGACCCCTTTTTTCAAGGATAAATGGTAATTAAACTGTATCACAAAATACTCGCCTTTAAAAAAAGAAAAACAATAGCAAGGTATGAAATATTAAAAAAGGTCACTTAGAAAAGGCAAAACCTATTTAATTTACACACACACCCATATATATATATATATATATATATATATATATATATATTTTATATATCTATTATTATTATTATCACTGGTTATAATTATTTAAAAACTATAGAAGGAATAAGTTTTGCAAAATTATTTTAATTTGTAGCAAAACTGAACACAATGGAATAATAACATACAACTTCTTTGTCCCACTTATTCTTAACACTTCATATAAAAAATCAACAATTCTGAGTCATCAGTTTTTAAATTAATAAAACTTAAGGAATAATGTACACATTATACATTTGTAAGGAATGTACCAACAAATAAACGATCCTCTCAAAGTAACACTTCGAAAGGTGCATTACAAAAAATAATAATAATAATAATAAACTGATAACTGTAGAACTTAAATTAATAAAACAACAAATTAAAATGGAATAAATTATTTTAAACAATGTTCCACAATTGACTAAAAAGTAATAATTATATATGAACTTAGAGATTTCTAAGAAAATTTAAGATCAATATTGAATAAGGGAATGTATAGGATATTTAATGTTATTCCTTCCTTTTAAATCATTTAATTCGATAACAACAAAACATTCAGAAACTTTCACATTCAGAATATCCATCAGCTGACAGGCAGCACCCATGGTACCTATGTAAAGAGTAAGATTAATAGCAAATCATGATGTTTATCAAATTAAAAAGCAGTAACAATCTTAAAATTATTAGTAAATAATAATAGTTTGTCTGAGTGTTTTGATCTGATAGTCAGTAACCCATACCTGAGATAAAATAATTATAATGTTCAATTTAATATATTAATATTCTTATAACATTATTTTTATTTAACAACCTCTTATTTCTTTTGGAAGTGTCGCAATAGTATTGAAGTGGCCTTCAGAGGTTATATTATTTGTAAAATATAAGAGAGATATTACAATATACATATACATATAAACAACATTTCTAAAAATTGCATATTCGTGTTCTAGGGGTACTATAATGTATAGAAAATGCAATGCCACCTTCCATTGACAACTTTCAATACAGTGCAAATGCCTATTATTTCTGAAGGAAAATAAACCAAAAAATGACATTTCCTTGGCACAAAATTAAAAATAAATAGAACTAATCTATTGGATATTCAAATGCAATCAAAGTAGTATTTAAAATAATGCTCACATCATGTAGTTTTGGAAGTAGTGATGAACCATTAGTTTTAGAAGTTAGAGATAAAAGAAGCAGGAAACAGGGTGGAGCCGAGGAGAATCACAGAGGAGGTATTACAACGATCATAGCATCATCAGAGTTAGATAATTTATTATTAACATATTACATCTCTATGAATCAATATCTCTTTCATCTAATACACTGTAGGTAATAATATAAATAAGTAGGTGGAAATTTATTTATTTTAAAACAATAATTTTGTTATACGACTAAAAACAAAACACTGATTTATTTTAATTGATTCTGAAAACTGTAACCTATAAGTTTTTATTATAAAATAAGAAACTAGCCTAAATTTGTTTTTAGGATGGAATCATTCCTTAAAATAATGAATAAATATACATTTTAACATACCACCAGTTGCAAGAAGATCATCAACAATTAAAACAGATTGTCCAGCTTTTAAACTGTCACGCTGTATTTCAAATGAGTCCTAGAAAAGATTAAAGAATTATATTAGGTAATATTAAGAGACAATTAGGAAGTATGTTACATATTTTTTTTTTTATCTCAAATAGTTTATTTGCACCTCTAAAATATTACAATCAGCATGTGAGCTAATATCATTATCTAATCTAATCTAATCATACTTGGCATGGGTAGACATAAAGGAGACAGTACCCAGCAATGCATCCTCCTGACATTTAGCGAACTTACATTGTCATACTATGAGGTCCCTCATTTAACTCCGTTTTTATGTCACCATTTGTAACATAAATTTTGTTTATATGTCCATGTAATTGGTCGTGTAACCGTTTGTAATTTGTCACAGCATAAGTCAGGGTGAAGGGCCTTGTCAGAAACATCAGGTGGTGAATTTGTAATCAGTCTTAAAAACTGGGTTTGGAATGTTTGTATTTTCTGAATGTGGATCTTTTTTGCAAGTCCATAAATTTGGCAATTGTAGGTTCATATATGTTTAAGTAAATAAGTATAAACATTAATATTTATAATCTAATCTAATACTACAAATGTATAATATAGTAGTAAAGATCCCTTTATGGCACTCAAAGGTTATAAATTCGGAGAAATCATGTGTCAAAAGAAAGATAATTTCAAGGAGAAGCAACGAACCCCAATTTTTAACTTCAAATTCATAATATAACTTCAATAAAAGTCATTGAAAAAAGTAGGAGGCTTCAAAACTCTGACATTGGTAAGTCAACAGGTCAAAATGGGAAAAATTGTGTTATAAGTATTTTGATGCAGACAATAAGATGTAGTAAAGTTCGGTACTTGTACAATAGCGGGTAGCGTCAAAACCTCCCTTGTTATCTAATGTTATTCCACATAATCTCCCATATCTCCGCTAACCTAAGTTATTCCTTTATTTATTTTTTGTTCCTTGTGTAAGCTGAAAGTTAGTCTTCTTTAATTATGGATGTTGTCACATTGTGGGAATTGATGTCTTCAGAAGAAGAGTCTATCAAATATTTTCAAGAAGCCGGGATATTTGCAAAGGTGAAATACTGTGATAAAGGTGATCAAATGAAGTTTGACGGGAAGATTAAATGGAGATGCTTTCGTAGTCGTAACAAAACCATTTCTGTAAGGAAAGGAACGTGGTTAGAGAGGTCGAGGATTTCTTTTTTAACACCTTTAAAATTCATTTATGGGTGGTCCCATAATTTAACAATACAGTGGAGGAAAGAGCAGCTCAAACTATACCAGACAACAATCGTAACTTGGAACAAATTAATAAGAGAGGTTTGTGCTCATAACATGTTATACAGGCCAAGTAAAAAAAATAGAGGGCCTGGCAAAGTTGCAAATTGCCTATTTTTATTATTTCATTTATTTTTATATATATGTTGCAATGTTTTCGTAATGTTTTTTTAATTATATGTATAATGTTTAGGTCTATTTAATATATATCTTGTAAAATAAAAGTATTTTTTTATTATTACTTTTGTTTTTGTTCACAATTTCAATAATATCAATACAATACAATAAATATGAATACAAAGATATTATTAGAAGCTTATCAGAGTTATCAGTGTTAAGGTTATAAACATTGGCAGATAGCAGTCAGATGCTATCCGCTATTAAACAAGTATCAAAGTTTCTTCAGAATATACTAGGCACTGTATTTTTAAGCACAAAAGTGTACTGTTTTTGAGATTAACTGTAATTCTTACAGAAAGCCTCCTAGATGCCATTGGATATTTATCACATGTTTAATTTTTTAAATAATTAACCAAAATTAAAATATTTCAATTTTTTATAGTCTACAACACACTAAACATGTACTGGAAAGATAAAAAAATGAGAAAAATTATTGTACCTCTTGGGCATCTCTCATAACATAGAAAAGAACCAACACAACAGGTCTTAAAAAATACAGTATAGCATTCATTTATGAATAGCTGAGTCCTATTTAGAGTCTTGATAATGGAATAAGTAGTTAGTTAGTTACATGGCTCCACTAATTATATATGTTAAATAGACTTACTTGACAATAATATATTCATTAGATACATAAAAATGTTTTTCTAATATCATTTATATTTCAAATATATTAGAGAGAAATAATAATAATATTAGAGAGAAAGAATAAATATCTAATGAGAGTTTTGCACAAGTATAATATACTATTAATTATTACTAAATTTATTTAGTAATTTTTATTACAAACACCAGAATTAAAACGTAAACACCAGAAAAAGTATGTGGTCATGATAATCATTATCATTGAATGATACATAAAACAATGTTTATTTCTATATTTGATAAGTGGCAAGCAATATTACTTGAATGTTAAGTACAAGTCAGTTCATATTATAACCTCTTCTTATTGCAAAAACTCAATGCATATATTTTAGAAAATTAAATAAACAAGAAGTTTGATGAATCTTACCTCCGTGAAATCAAAAAGTTGTCCTATTTTTGTCATACAATAGGTTTGGAGTTTTTTTTTTTTTTTTTATCTTTAACTGTTTATCCGCACCTGCCATGGTAATGACAATCAGCAGATGTGTTGTCATGATGAGGTTGGCATTACAGGCATGAGGAAGGATAGCACCCAGCAGCACCTCATCCTGGTCATTACTTTGATTTAGGTGAGATCTCTCATCCAGCTCGTTTTTAGTCTCCTCCTGATGGGCATGTCAGTCGTAGCCATGTCGTTTATAAGTCTGTTTGTGTGTCCATGTAGTTTGAGATGAAAATGAGAGTAGAGAGTACGTATGTGGTGGTCTATAGTTGGTTGTCGTAAGTCGTTATGTAAAGTTTTGTTGTTGACCTACCAGGGAGCTCCTGTTATAAGTTGTAAAATTTTTGATTGAAATTACTGTAGTACTGTAGTTTTTGTAAGTGTGTCTTGTTTGCCGAACCGTAAATCTGAGAGGCGTATGTCCGTATGGGTTTGAGTAGGTAAGTGTATGTATTTAGTTTTTGTCGACTTTCAATTTTGATTTAGAAAAAAGTGAGTACAGTATTTTCAGTCGCTTTTTTAAGGTGTGTCGTTCCATTTTGACGTGTGGGCCCCAGGTCATCCTTCTGTCAAATATTAGTCCTAGGTAACGTACTGTGTTTGTCTGAGGAATTTGGTTCTTTCCTATATAAACTGCTGGGCACGTTTCTCGTCGAAGTGTAAATGTTATGTGTTGTGACTTGTCATGATTTAATCTTATTTTCCAAAGTGAGTACCAATTTTGTAAAGTCAGTAAATGATTTTGTAAATTGAGGCTTGTCTCGGGTTATTGTGTTTTGTTAAAATTGTTGTATCATCAGCGTAGGTGGCGGTCAATGTTTCGGAGTTGAAAGGTATGTCATATATATATATATATATATATATATATATATATATATATATATATATATATATATATATATATATATATAATGTAGAGTAAAGGAGTGAGTATTGATCCTTGAGGTACTCCTGCTAACGCTGGTCGAATTGAGGAAATTTCTAGGCCTTGTCGGACAGAGAAAAATCTGTCAAAAAGAAAAGATTGGAGAATGAGGTAATATGTATGAGGTAGTAGTGTTTTGAGTTTAAAAAAAAGTCCCTGGTATCAGACTATCAAATGCCTGGGCAACATCCAGAAACACGCCGGTTGCGTATTGTTTTTGCTCTAGTGCTCCAGCAATGTAGTCAGTAACCAAACTGATGGTCAGGAATTATATTTGGCTCCATCAGTATGTCAACCAATCTTTTGTATATTAATTTTTTGAAAAGTTTAGAACATATTGGGAGAAGATTTATTGGTCGGTAGGATGAGGGATTGAAAATGTCTTTGTCTTTTTTGTGTATCATTTTGGTATGTGAATATTTCCATTGTAGTGGGAATTTAGTTGTCCTCAGGATACAGTTGTATATTGTTGTAAGGAACACTAGTGCTTTCCTGGGCATTTGATGGAGTGCCTCGGCAGTTATTAAGTCATAACCTGGGGCTTTTCTTTTGGGTAGATGTTTGATTTGCTGTGCAACTTGTGAAGGAATAAAGGAGAGAGGTGGTAGCGTCAACGGTATTGGTATATCTAAAGTGTTTAGTACAATGGTTTCATTTTCTGTGTTCGTGAAGTCAGTAAATGGTGTGAATACAGATGATGATGGTCAGCAAATAGTTCAGATTTTTCTCTATCCGACAAAGCCCATGAACCATCCTCTTTTCGCAGGGGTACTGATACTTCTCGATGTTTTAACAAATTCTTGGTATGCTTCCACAAACTTCCATCACCAGTCGATAGGGTGTTCAAGTAAGCATCATAGTTTGTCGCATTGAATTTTTGTGTTAGTCGTTTAAGTTCGTTGTTCAGTCTGTTAAATGTTCGTTTATCTGAAGGAAGTCTATTAGTCTGCCATACCTTGCGAGCTCTTCTCTTTGCCGTGATCAAGTCCCTTATATACTGAGGGTATCTGGGCAAATGTTCTGGCCATGATGGCATTGGAAGTGCAGAAGTCCAAGCAGCTTATTTTAATGTGTTAATCAGTTTTTTACATAGATAAATATGATTGTAATCCATATATTGTTAACAGTTTAATTCTATCACAAGTATACTTAGTGACATTTTGCAATAAACCAACAATATTTAATAATAGGAAGAAGGGGGTGAAGGTATTGGAATCATTGTAAATTAGGAGTATGGTGATAAGAGGGCCCTGGACCTTTCTTTCAGCTACTGTCAGCATTCCATGGACAATCTGATCTTGACAATTTGAATGATGTTATCATGGCCCACCTGTCATCCAGACATGACAAGTGTAACCTATTACCGAAGTTTATGATAATGATAACTTTGGATAAGACATAGCTGTCCATGTTCACAAACTCATTTAAGAAATAAAGAGCACAAAAAAACAATCATTTTAATAAGGAGTAATAACATTACGAGGGACTAAACATAATGGGTTAGCAGGATACTACTTTAAGAGTGTTGCTCCACTTTGATGGATATTAATTAGGACACAACCTCATGTTTACACAATAAATGTAATTCTGAGAATGGCCTGAAAGTAAATAGAGATGTCCAAACCATCAAGGAAGGCTTTCACATCAAGTGAAAAGGACCTGATGGGAGATTTTTTATCTCTATTAAGTGAGCAGAAGCCAAAAGCAGCAATGTAATTAAAACTAAGGTTCCAATTCTAACAGAAAAGGTTCAGTTGGGGGTAGCAGAAGTCGTAAATCAAGATCTAAATAAAGGGAGGTAGTGAACAGTTTTTCAATACCCAATATAGTGTGATCATGGATCTTTGGCAGCAATTATAAACTGGTATCACCAGGAATACTGCAGTAGCAACATTAACAATTAAATGATTAATGAAAATTTCTAAACTTACACTTCCATATTCAAGTTTGTACTGTATTTCTGCCAGTTCACCGGGGAGTTTACCTTTCTTTCTGACAGGTACAAATGGCACATCAAGATTAAGAGCAATAGAGGGTCCCAAAAGAAAGCCTCTTGATTCTAGTCCTATAACAGCATCTATGGGAGATTGTATTGATGAAACATGATCTACTATCAAGTCCATCAGAGCTTTTAATGCTTGAGTATTGCTGAATACTGAGAACACATCTCTGAATAAAACATAAATATATTTAAATTGGTAAATATATACACCCTTGTAATAATTTGATAATAATGGAATAAATAGCTACTTTCAGGAAGAATCTTGTAAGTTTTAAATTATAAAAACATCTTTTTGATTACCTGAATAGCACTCCTTTTTTGGGAAAATCTGGATATGAACGAATATTTTCTTTGACGATTCTTAATTTTTCATCCATAGACATTATGGTAGTTTATACTCCTAAAATAATACGATAATAAATGGCTAAATCTTAATAAATTTTGATATATTATGTGCTGCTGATAAAAAAATTAATAATTTGCGATATGTACTGAATGATCTAGAGCTCTAAGCTAATAAATTAAAACATTGCAGATAACGATAATGATAAGAATCCTTGACATGCCATTTAATACACCGCCTGTTCTTGCTGTAGTTACTGGAATCCCCAGCAGAGGCTGTAGCTGCCCTATCAGTTCAGTTTGAAAGTAGGAGCAGAGTTGGTTAGGCACACAGGTTATGTCGTAATTTTCTGTGATAATTTAATTATAATTTGGCAAGAAAAATGTTGTCCTACATAAGTTCTATTTGGCAGTTTTTGAACTATTGGTACTTTAGGTACTTAATGGTTACTGAATTATACATGGTTGAAAAGTGGGAAAGAGCTTTTTTCAGTATCCTTTTCTTATTTATTTCTTTTGGTAGCTTTTTAAAATTATCATTGCTTGTCCAAAACGGTGTTTAAATTTTAGTTGTAATTATTTCATGTGATTCAATTACTCTCTTAAGAGAACCTTAAATAGTTGACAACTTTTAACAATAGTGCAGTCAGTAAATTTTTGTGCATTGTTTTCTCTTGGAATCACGTGAATTTTAGTTTTCCGAAATTTCGTGAATCATTGATTATTCACCAAGTGTTTTATTTACATTAAATATAATGACTTTATTAAGGGACCTATAGATTTCACTGATTTGATTATTACAATGAAATGAGCAGTCATATTTTCAATTTATTACAAGAAGTCATTAACTAACATTTCATATAATTAAATCATTAAATGCTTTGATGCATTTTCCTCTGTGAAATTAGTATATTGTTCACTCTGTGTAAACTATATTTGATATTTAGAAGGTTTGTGTAATTTTGAGACACTTACTTTTTTTTTTGACTGATAAAGGAGGTCAAAATTAAAAACAGCGCATTTTTTTTAAAATTTAGTTTTATCAATAATGTACTGAGTGACTTCTGGCAACAAACAGATGATATGTAATAAAAATTAAGTAATATAAAATAATGTATCTTAATTTATAAATAGCACCTAACGTAAATGTATCGGTAAATGACACTTTAAGAGAAATTTTCAACATTAATGCGAACCACAACTTTCATTCTGGCAGTGGATCTTTGCCAATAGGTTTGATTGACAGCAAATTTAGTATTTTATTGATTTTTTTTCTATACAGGTAATTAGTTAATTATTCATAAAAAAAATAGAAAGTTCTGACAGTGCAAATGCATGTACCAGTAATGTGGTTTTGTGGTCAGTAACTTTTTTTATATATTTAAAACAACCCTAAATAAACTGTGCACAGTTTTAAACTGAGAAATGGCGTACTACAGATGAATGAATGAAAATTTCAAACTAATATAAAGAAAACCGATAAGGAAACCTCCCGAAACAAACACTCAACCTTGCTTCATTAAAAAAATCAACTGCCAATTGGCTATTGTGGCATGATATCTAGAGATTCAGTCATCACCTTGCTATATGCTTTACCTACTAATCTAATCATATTCGCTTTTTATTTTGGGTGTAAATAGCTTATTGCCTGTAAATGAGTTGAAAATTGTATTGCCGGTACATTGTCTATTACTGGTACACTTACCTCACACTAATTATTGAAAATTTCTTTTGTTTGATTTTACTCAATTTTAAATCTGACCACTAATAGTTTAGAAGGTAATTTTTGATCTTAATATAAAAAGCTTTTGATTTTGTTTGCAAATTACTTTAAAATAAAATACTCAATTATTTAATTATTGTTTTTATCAAATTAGGTAATCTATAAACTTCAATTTATGTTGATATTTGCAGTGTTGAAGACGTCCTTACAATATTTAATTTGACAAAAAATAAGATCATAAATATTTTTTATTACTTGGTAATAAGTAATTTTATATGCTCGTATTACTTTATCAGATAGCGTGCCAAGATGACACAACATTGTTAATTTTTCATTCAGTAATTCTTTGTTATCTTTCATTTTCAAAGCAGAATGTTATACAATCAGCTCATTATAATAGTAACTGAATGGTCTATACTAGGACATGTTTCAGTTTATTTACAAAATTTTAAGGGGTTCCTAAACATTTATAGCTTATGAGCACTTTAAATTTAGATTTATACACTAATTCACACTGTTTTTATTATGCCATACTCTCCCCCCCCCTCCAAAAAAAAAAAAATAAAAATGTTAGAAAATTTTCTACTAAAATTAATGCAGACTGTTTATGTTACAAAATTGAATTTTTATAGCCAATGTTTACTTAAATAATTAGGCTTTATAGCGTTATAGAATAAACACATCCTCACACAGTTAAGTGGATTTTTTTTGTTATATTTCTAGAGTAAATCCCATAAATTTCATTGTTACTGTACCTTTTATCTTTTTTTTTTTGTTAGTACTTTACTGTTATTAGCCTAGTTTTATGGGATGATCTGTTGTACTTTTAATTGATTTCGTAACATGATATTTTTTATTGTTCTTGGATGGCTTTAATAGATGTCCTTACAATAAGTTTGAATCAGTTTCTACTCTAATGTATATTTTATTGTATTATTTTTGTCTCAGTTAATGTTAATTTTTTGTTAAAAATGAATGACTGCTATGATTTAGTTCATAATTTAAAGTTATTCTTATGGCTGGAATGCCAGACATCCAAAGGGTGTCAGTTGAAATTTATTTCATGGATTTATTAAATATCAGAACTACTTTAGTTTTCAAATGGATTCCATACATAGTTTATTGTTGAAAAAATATTTCAACTGTTATCCGATTTTGTAAGGCTTTATACTTACAGTTTAACTTTCTATATAAGAAAAAAATATATAATATTTTGGTTATTTTTTATAGATGATATAAAATTATTGTTTCCTTAATTACAATATATCTGTAGATACCGTAATAGTTGTCTTCCTCTCCATACTGTCATATTTCAATTTAACTCTTCTCCAGTACACTTCAAGGCTTTTCACTTCTGAAAGCTACAATGTATCAGAAACTTGACTTCAAGACTTGCTCCTATGAAACTAATTTTTTAATTAAAATACATATCATTCATTCTACATCAGTTTTTGTTTATTAACCTATAGCAGTCCATTCATTATTGAAACATATGAAAATTTTAAATTGTGCAAATTTCATATTTATTTCTTTTCAAAATTAATCGCACAATGTTATTTGTTTTTATATGTATGTTGTGATGTTTTATCATATTTATCACCAACATGTCACATTGTACTTCCTTAATTCTGTAATTACTAGGATTTATTAATTTTTATGAGTATTTTGATATATTTATTATCTCGATACAGTTTTGACTTTACAGTATTGTTCCAATAATTGTTTTTTAATGTTTAATTTTGTTTGATATAGTAAATGTATGAGTTGTTTATATTTGTTTTTATAATATTATCATTATTGTTTACAAATGGTTTGATTGCCTATAAAAAAGTATTACTATGTGGGTTATGCATGGCAATGGCCGGAGACAAGAAATATTTATCCTGTTAGATTATCATACCTATTTTTATTAATAGTTATAAATATTGTAGCTTAACATTGTTATTGCCTTCTATTTGATATACTTTCTATAAATTATAACTGATTAATCTTCCCTATATTATTTGACACTATACACGCATTAGAATAAACCTTATTATTTAAAAGAGCTTGTGATAAAAATATTAATTAATGGAAAAAATTACTCAGGGTATTGAATTTGTTTATAGATCAAGTAAAAAACAATTCTTACTTCTTATATGAGTTAAATATATATATTTTTAAAAATTTATGTTTAACTTTATATCTTCAAAGGGTATTTTATAATCCTTGTATATCAATCCATGCCCTTTCAATTTTTTTTTTTTTATTCTGAGTATTTATTGTTTTTTGAAGTAACATTTTTTTTAATTTAGTCTTTCTTAAAAGCTCAATTTAACTTAAAAACTACTACTCTGCCAACTATACTTTTACTGTGCTCTCACTAATATGTATTAATATTAATTTTGATTATTCATTATTTTTCTTATTTTTGTGAGCATTTTTTATGTAAAATAAAATCATGTTTTTAAAAATCTTCATTTTTAAATAGTGAATATTTAAAAACCTACCGTTTTGAGGCTTGGCTAATTTCAGATTAATATTGTTTGATATTCTATGGTAATTAAATTTTTTTTTTATTAATTATTATATGAAAATTCTGATGTATATATTTCAAGATTCTTATTTATTTATTATGCATTTTAGTGCTCATTATTTTGATTATTGTGGAAACAGTATTCCATGAAGTTCCTATTAAGATTGTTTACTCTCTACCTCATAAAATAAGTATGTTTCTTCAAAATTTTTTATCCAAGTTTAAATCATAAATGAAATAATACAATGAGTATGTGTATGGTAAATTATTGAAGTACTAAATGAATATTAACCCTGATTGAGAGTCTTAAAGTGCTACTTAAACCTTCAAAGTTAGTAAAAAACTATGGAATTCTCCACCAACTACATAACATAGTTCACTTTTAGAGGTACTGATAAATCAAATATAAATAACATGATTGTTAATTGTAGCTAATCTTTTCTTTTTGTTTTTATTGGTTTGGAAATAGCTTTTCACCACTTATATTACATTTTTGAAATATTATCTCTTCATAAATTTATTTCTAATGGGAATCATTAATTTTTTCATTATTCCCATAATAATAATTTTTTTTGTCTGATCATTTTGTATTTAGGTGCATTCTCCGAATCATATTGTCATTTGCACTAACCAAACTCTTGAAGTTAAAAGACAAATATAATTATAATTTAATGCCAGCATTTTGTTTGCTTTTTGTACTTGTATAAATAAATGAAAAATAAATCTATTATATTTATTATTATATCTAATATCTATATAATTTATTCTTTGTTTTTGGCAATACTGACTTTCAATTAAAGAACAATTGATTTATTTGTTGTATTTCCAAGTTACAAGTTACAATTGGAAGTCATTATTGCCAAAAACAAAGAATAACATACAACTTCCCAGCAAAAAGAAAATATATAACTTATTTTTTATAGTATACTAGCTTTAACTGGCCACGTGCTGCTGTGCCTTAGCCTGGCAAAATGAAAAAGAAAGAAAATAGAAAGCACATATGAGTAGATTAGTAGCAAAGGACATCTGTCATTTTTAAAAAGTTTGGAAACAAATTTGTCTGTAAAATGGCTTCAATTTAAACTGATTCTAATGATTTTTTTTTCTCATGATTCAAATTGAACATTCATAATCATCAGAAACAGTCTGAGTTGAACTTATAAAACTAAATAAAAAAATTAATAAAAAAAAAAACGTTTAATAATATTCACCTACATATGGAGAATCAAATAACTTCTTTAAATGATAATTTCAATTACTGTAGTAATTATAAAATTTTCGATTAATCAATAAAAAAAAAAAATGCTTACCAACCTTCAGTAGTGAGAAAGCAAAAGGAAACGGCCTTTTCTGAAGAGAAAGCAGTAAATGTTTAAAACTCTATAACTGTGCCACGAACCGTCCGATTTCGATGATTTTTTTTTTATTTTGTCAGCTATCTTTCATATAAATATAGGTATTATCAATCAAAAATTGTGTACTTTTTTAGTTATTGGCAAATAGAATATTGAATTCATCGTAACATTTTTCAGCTTGTTTTCGGGGAAGTATGTTATACACATAAATTAAAAGGGTTTCAAGGGGAAGACTTTAGCCAAGTTTCGTTAAAATCGGTAAAGCCGTTTTGGCGCTACAGTTTATAGCGACACATTTTTTTGCGGCTTTGAACAGAAAAACATTTACATTTTAATTTTTTTTACATATATGAAATTATCGTAAGACAGAAGTACTATTCCAGAAACCTTCCCAGGAGTGTACGGAACAACTTCCCAAAGTTTCATGGCGATCGGTTGAATGGTTTAGTAATGCACTAAGGACAAACAGATAGACATACATTCATTTTTATATATATAGAAGATAACTGAATTTCTTCAGAATGTTCATTTAAAATTTTGTTTTATTTCAATTTTTTGGAACATATTTTAGATGTCCATTCTGGAACCTTGGTCTGTTTGTTGTTCTAATTCGTTTGTTTATTATTTCAATTTATCAAAATTTCTTATCTTCTGGGATAAATTTATAATTATTAAATTTGTTGGCAACATGTTATACTAAAAATATAGATTTTTCTATCAAACACATCACTAGTCATAAGTAATTAAGAATTTAATTAGTGCTAAGGGATAGGGAGAGGGATAACTCAGTGAGTAATGCTCTTGGCCATACTGCTCAAGGTTCTAGGTTTGATTTTGGCTGTGGCTGGTATTTATTCTGTTTTCAGTTTAGGTGGAGCACTCACTGGATCAGGAGACCCTCTGTGGCATACCCACTTTCTATGAAGTGGATACTCTTAATTATATAATTAATTAAGGAGAAAACCTGGAGGTTGAGTGTGAAATTGGTCATACCACTTCCATGCACAACCATTGACTCTGAATCAGTTCTTTCAAAAAAAGTGCTGAACCCAAGAATCCTTCATGGGTTGTAGTGGCTCAGGTTTAGTTTTTAAAATCTATGTCTTATTTATGATGATAAAATAATATTGTAGTAATATTTTGAGGTAGAAGGTATCTTAAACCTTACGGCTCCTTCCTTGATTGGATATATATTAACCTACTTATTAAATAAATTCCCAGTTATAATTTATCCTTCAAGATTATTTATCTGATAATTGTAATATTTACTGTCATTCTGTGTTGAACTTTAATTTTTTTTTTTTAATGACAACATAGTTATATGGATTTTTTGTTTGCCTTAATAGTTTTATTTATTTGATACTAAGTGATTGTAAATTTTATTAAATTTTTTGTTGTTCTTAAATTAAATTTTGAATTTAAAAATAGATATGATTATTCCATGGATGCCCTTATGATGTTTTGATCCTTGCCTAGAAAATCATCTAAAAAATATATTAGAAATTATTTCTAATTAGAATTATCGCACCACTCTTCTTTTCAAGTTGTTTTCAAGCCCATTTCGTTCCATTGCTTTTTATGCATTGCGATTCTTTTATGTCTGAATTGTTTAATAAATAATTTTCTTTTTAATTGATAAATAAATGAAATAATCTTGTTAATGTATATGAAGACATTGTACTGTAAAAATGTAATATATTAATTGCACATAAATTATGTAAATAAATTGTTTTAAATGTAAATAATTACTTTTTAAAGTATTATTTTGAAATATTCTATAGTAAATAAGCTTTTGATGGCTACATTTTATCTTTACCTGTAGTTATTTTACCCAACATTGTTGTGTTAAATACTTCAACTATTAATCCACAAAGAGGCATTCTTTTGTGCAAGTTTAACTGCCTATTAGCAGACCCTGATTTCTGACAACTAGAATATAGAGCAAAGAGTCTTAATCCATCCATTCCTCTCCTTTTTCATTTCTTTCAAACATCATCAAAGTTTACTAATTCAAACTGAAAAGATTAAAGAATTATTTCATATATTTTTTGGTGTTCGCCGCCGCTCTTACTGGTATTCCTGGCAGAGGTGGCTGTTTCCTAGTTTCGGAAGGCTATAACTTTGTGCTATTCTTGGGTAAAAACAGGACAATCATTGAGAAAAAAAAAACAACCATCTTATATTCTTGATCGAATAGAAAGAATCTATTCTTATTCCGATTCATAAAAAGAGTCCCAGGACAGGTTACAATAACTATTGAGGAATTTCACTCCCTCCGGTATGTTATAAAGGATATAATTAATTTATAGTAATTGTATTAATTCAGGCATACCTGTTACTCAATAAAGATTAATAATAAGTTTCCTTCAACAATAATGTTGTTTTTTTTTTATTTCGTTTTTTCTCAAAATTTTATTTTATTTTTACTTGTTTTAATTTAATTTCACTGAAGATACTGTATATATTCTTTAATATTGATTAATGTAATTTTTGGCCAGATGTAGTTTTAATTTTTTTGTTCATATCTGTTATTCATAAGGGACCTTGTCCCAGAATAAAGTTTACTTTCTATCTATCTATCTAAAATTGAAGGGAAGATTGAGGTTAGGCTGAAGGCGGAAAATGCTTGTTATTTTTCTGTGACAAAACTACTTAGCTCGCGCCCCTTGTCCCAGAACTTAAAAAGTAGAATCTATAAAACCATATCTTACCTAAAGTTCTTTATGGATACCTTGGTTAAAACGTGGCCGCTTACATCAAGGGATGGGCAGCGTCTTAATGTTTTTGGAAATGAAATATTGCGTAGAATATTCGGGCCGAAGAAGGATGAGAACAGGAGAGTTCAGACGGTTACACAACGCCGAATTGCGTGAACTGTATCCGGTTAATATAATTGAGATGATTACATCGCGGAAAATCAAATGGGCTTGTAAAATTGTTGTGCTTTGTTACGAAAGAATTCCTAAAAGATTAATATTTGCTGTACCGAATGGTAAACGTTCGAAGGGTAGACCCAAGTGAAGATGGGAAGATTGCGTTAAAGCCGATGTGAAAGGACTTGGTTTGGACGGCGAACGATGAAGGGAGGTATGTAATAAGCGATTGGTTCGCTAAGCCTTTTATTATTATTATATTCTTGATCTTCGCATTCTATTTTTTTCCATTCACTGTTTAAGTAGGAGCTCTGAACCTACGAATTTTCATAAGATTTTTTGCAAATGTGGAATTTTTTATTCTCATGAGACTAAATTCCGCTGAATAATGATTTATTTTTATTCATTTATTATTATTATTATCTCGGCACAACAACTAGTTGTGGAGTTGGGATCTCCACCTGCAATTTCCACCAATTGTCACGATTACGTGTAGCCACCATCCAGTTACGCACTCCAAGGATGTTTCGAGTCAGCTGAAAATTCGTCTACCAAGCATACTTAGGTCTTCTAGTTACACAGAGAAACTCCATCAAAAGCTCCCTGGACTACTCTTCTTCACTCATGCGCTTCACATGCCCCGCCCACCGCAACCGGCCCAGTTTAACCATCTGAACGACATTTGGCTCTTTAAGTAATGTTTTCTTTTGTCTCCTCTCTCCGTCTCCTCCAGATTCGATCCACCAACACTCCTCCAAATATCCTCCGGAAGATTTTCCCCTCGAACATAAGTAAGCTCTGTTCATTACGTTTGGTCATAGCCCAAATTTCTGAGCTGTACATTAGCACTGGAAGGATTATGGTTTTGTATAGATGTAACTTTGTTTGGCGGGAGAGAATGTTGCCGACAAGCTGATTGTTTAGGCTGCTGTAGCACTGATAAACAGAGCTTATCTTCCTTCTAATTTTCGTTTCTGCGCTATTGTTCTTTGTTACCATAGATTCTAGATCAATAAATTCGGCGACTATCTGAAATCGGTCGTATCCGAATGTCACCATCTCATTGCGTTCAGGCATCTCTTCGGTCACTATGTATTTGGTTTTCTCCTGGTTAACCTTGAGCGCATGTTTCCTTGCAGGACTTATCTGTGCTAGAAAAGCCCACCTGACGCGTTGTTGAGAGCGCCCAATGATGTTGACATCTTCCGCATAAGCCATAAATATAAAATATTGTCTGCTCGATTTTCTCACAGCCTTCTCCAGAGCAATATTATATTAGCATGTGAGGGCATCACCTTGTCGTTGGCCCTTCTTCGCTTGTGATTCCTCGAATAGATCTCCACCAACGCACATAGATAACATTCAGCCTCACCATACGTATGAGCTTCTGAGGGATTTAAAACTCCTCCAGCGTTAGGCAGGGCGCATCACGATCAATACTATCGTATGCAACCTTAAAATCGATTAAGAGGTGGTGCGTCTTCTGCTTAATTTCGTGTCCTCTCTCCAAATTGGTTTTCAGGCTAAATGTTTGCTATTAGCATAGAGAAAGAGACACGTCAATAGGACATTCGAGAGAATCTTGTATCGGGAAGTCAGTAAGGATATACCTCTGCACTTGCAGACCTACGGGAGGGGTGGGGGCTTTCGGGCTGAAGCCCTCCCCAAAATGGTGAAATGTAACCATATTTTCCTACCTCTAAAAGTATTATTGTTCGTCTAATTACAGTTAATAAACTCCTGTCATGCTCAAATGGGGTACCATTGGTACTTAACTTCCTAAGCATGAATACGTGAGCAGAAATATGTATCTTCATACATAAACCAGTGAAAGTAAACATTATAGAGGGTACAACACAATAATTTTAAACAATTAGTTACCTAGTTTTCTTAGCCTTGATGAAGGCCATAATCTTTGGGCCAAAACGTCGGCAAAAATAAAAATAAATATACTTATTTATTTTTTTTTTACTGATCACCCCAATCATTCTTCTCTTCAATTAGTTACCTTATGTTTTCTTGCTTGGTGCTGTGCTTCTGGACGGTTCTATAGAAAATTCTTCATTTACACTTATTCTAATAATTATTACCATAGGATGTTTTTGAAGTGGAAACTGCTTTAGGCGCGTTTTGGACTTTTTTGTGGAGAGTGAATGAGATTGATCCGTCAGATTTCGTTCGGTATTAACGCTCGGGTGAACTCGGCTAGAGTCGGCTAATTAAAATATTTTTTACGTATGGATTAAAATATCTCTGAAACTATAAATCGGGTCTGCATACTGTAAACGAGGAAATTTTTCAGCATTTCATCCTCTCTGCACTAGGCTATTATTCAAAATTGTATCTTAACGCGACGCCGTGTTAGGGAGCCGAAAAGGAAAAAATAGTGTTGAAAACCAAATGATCAGGTTAGTTGAGCAAATGGATTAAAATATTTCAGATACTGAAAGTCGGATCTGTACACTGTAAACGAGGGATATGTTCAGTATTTCTTCTTCTTTGTAATGATCTATTATTTATAATTTATATTTCATATTATTAATCTCGCCTTGTTGATATTTTAACTTATATCGTGTGGTCTATAGCACAAAATTTAGTTTTTTATTTTACATGCGCTGTATTCAAAGAAATGCAATAATTGAACCAGCATTAAAACATATTATTTGTTAGGCCCGTGCTTACATCTATTAGCTGAAATACGTGCGTTACAATTAAAAAGAAAACGTGTTGTGATTGTTTTTAATTTAATTAATTTGTTTTTAAATTTTTAACTGAGATCATTGACAGAAAAAAATGTGGACCAATGAAAAATAACAAACTTGCTTTTTCTTTTGGAGGGGAGGAGATTGCATCATACAATACAAATTATTGGAACTTAATTTGTTTTTAAATATTTATTTTTCCTTTCATCTACCTATCAGTTTATTACAAAAAGACACTAACGTAAGTACATTTTTGATGGAATTGAACTTTTAAGAACGTTTTCATGAACTTCATCGTTATTTATTGATAAAAAAACACATTAAATGCACAAAAGTGAAGAAAACCCTTTTATATATCAACGATCACTCAATTTTCTGGTTTAACTAATGGAAAATTCATTAAAGTTTTCAGTCGTTTAAAGTTATGAAATGTCAATGACTTTTTACAATAAACCAACGATACATACAATAGTAAGGCAAGGTATCTTGAAAAATTTGTAATCTGAGTTTTCATCGGAAATACATGTTTTGAAGTCACCTCTGTCCAAATAACCAACCCCCACAGAACGATTTACGTTTTTATAAGAACAGTCTGGCTCAAAAATGCCAAGTCGTACGAGACTGAAATTGCTTATTTAAGGTAGGTATGTGCCTGGGATATTACAGTAATTTTTAGGTTGAAAGTGAATTTCTGGAAGTAATAGTTAAAATCTATACACATAATATATCATTGAAAAGGTGAGGATTTTAGAAAAACAATATCTAACATACAAATAAAGCCACGGCTGAATTTCTGAAAACTAATGTTATTTAATGCTAACCAAATGTTTTCATGGAAACTAAATAAAATCATCTTACTGAACGCAAAATTTTAAAATTGTTTTTAAGCTTAAAAAAGTATATATAATCCATTGAATAGTGGCAATGAAATTTTTGAAAAACCAACCAACCTTATTGTACTTGTATTAAATAATAAATAAATAAAATAATCATGGATAAGGGAAACGCATGTTTATGACCTTAAATTCATTTACTGTAATTTAGTAATTTTAGATCCGATAATATATTTAAATAATTAGGTATATTTCATTGCATTATTCCAGAAAATCATTAAATAAAATTTTATTAGTGAATAAATTTTCTTTCTGTGAAATCACAGCATTATCCACTTACCATTAGTAGGTGGACTTTTGACAATGAAAAGCTTATAACTCTATTTTGGTAAATTTTACAAGTGAAAAAAATAAGAGTTCAAATGCATTTAAAAAGTGATAGATATTTAGTTCCTATGTTTTTTTACTATGTATTATAATCCTCACTTATTTATAGATTAAAAATATATTTATACATTCAAATCTCTCTTTATATATAGAGATCAGAGACTGGAGTTATACGATTCAAATAGACTGACAGGAGTTATGAGTACAATATTGTCTACCTTCGATATAATAAATAGGATTAAACATGTCCGAAATTAATAGGGAACGGGATAACGCGTGTGCACATCACCATGCCTGATAACCGAAGTATGAGTTAGAAAATTAATAACGAGTTCAAATACTGGTGCTCGGTGGGGCTTTTAACTCGGCATAAATCCTCCGGTCCTGAAAAAAAAAAAAACCTGTAGCGTATAAGGCAAGGAAGGAGACGAAAAAAAAATCCTGAATTTGCAGATTTTTTTTTAAAGGTTTAGCTCCATTAAAAATACACTTCAAAACCTTTTTGTAATTGCCAAAATTTCTTATCGAAATATAACGGTAACTAAATACATCAATAGGGATAAGACCTAATATAATTTAAGTTTGATGCTATGAATTTAATCAAAAGAGTTATTGTTAGTGTGGCACTTTCGATTAGCCGATTTTAGGGAAAATTTTGCTGTAACATCCCAGGCCACCTAACTCAAACACGTAATTACTGTTTAATTTTTGAGATGGACTATTCATATATACACAGGCGTGGTTGTGTTATGATGGTGTAGTTGGACTTGGTTGTGTGGACTCAGTGGACCTTAAAACTCGTATTTCCGTTGTATACACGGAATAAATAATTCGAAATTGTTTACGATCGCAATACTATATATTACGTATATAAGTAATTGAAAAAAAAAAAATACTCTTTGGACAAAGAGTAGAGGAATCGTACAGGTGCTTTGTTAAAGAGGCAATTTTACCATCCTCTCTCGATTAGAGAGGTGGAAGATGGAGGGGACTGCTGGGGCACTCCGTCAGTCGGGGTTATGCTGGTAGTAGTCGCTCTACTTTTCATTGCGGATATCCGGGCAGGTAACTCTTAACCTTCCTTTATTAATAAATTATTTATTTATATCATTTAACCCTTTATTATTAATTATGTATGATTCTTATTGTTAATATTAACTCGGGAATGAGCAAGGACGAGATGTTTATTTTACTGCGTCATGTTCAGTTGCTATATCAAAGCAACAACAATAAACATTCACTGAACAATTATGATAATTGAATAACCATATATGAGAAATGTGAACTTTAAGAGATAGTTCGTATGTGTTTTCATTCAGTTACCGCTTTATTATTTATTTTTTTTTAGGTAAAACAAAAATAGTTGTTGTCAACAATTATATTAACATCAGGCTGAGAGTTGATCTAAAACTATCTCTCTATTATACAAAAAAGATTTTATTAGCTGTCATATTTTGTTTTCCGATCTCAACAAATTAAAATGCTGGGATAAAGATTTGAAATTTATTTGTTTTCCTGCTTACACCATATTGAAAGAATAAAATATGAACTACAGAATACTTGTAAATTATAGTTATACTATTTGTGCAACGAGTAGTACAATTAAATGAACAGTTGTTTAATTTCTAAAATGAGGGTTTGTCGCTGTTAGGAAGACATGGGGTATTCTCCTCGTACTTAATTATTTACGTTACCAAATTCTAGTCATCCTCAACTGTACCAATCAGAAATTTATCAAACTTTATGTACTCTTGATTAAAATTAGCGCACAATTTCATTATTGCGTCAGGAATTCAATTGTAATGGTAAACTCTGGACGAAAATGAAAGAAACTATATAAAATGGTCTTTATGTGGTTCTTCAAGGTCTTTACAAAAAAATAAAATAAAAAGTAAATAAAACATTAATTACAGGTATAATAATGCTTTTACTAATATCTTTGTACTTAAATTTAGTAGTATTGTTAAGTATTTAGCTTAGATATATAAAAATACATCGGCCTTCACCCCTAAACTGCCTTCCGTGAATCTGTCACGTTTTTAACACCTTTTCTGATTTGGAGACCTCTAGTATTGTCTAGTTTTTAAAGAAAACAGTTTTTCTAAAAAAAAAAACTAAATGGCCTGAAGGCTAGAAACAAAAAAATTGACTTAAAAAATATTGAATTAGTCGCAGGAGGCAAAATAAGAAAATGTGTTTTTTTGAAGCAAGAAAATAATTAATTCAAAATATTCCAGTTTTCTGTAAATACATAATAGTTTGGTAACATTATTAGAAATCACTAATACTATTTTTTTTTACAACTTAAGCGATCAAATTATGTTTAACGAACTGACTTACTGAACTGAAATGGTTCTCCTCATTAGAGTATTAACTTAATTTTATAAAGAAAACTCTATTTAATAATAATAAATGATTAATATTCAGGAAAATTCAAGGGTTGATTAAATGGGGTAATTATTTCCTAAAATTTCGTTTGAAATGAAATTTGACAAAAATTCAACAATTGACTTCTGGCTGATACAGCCGGTTACCAGTTAGCAAGTTCACCTTCAGGTGTGCGGAGGTGACATTGATGAAATTGTAAATTTAAATTTACTTAAAATTATCAATTTTGTTTTACAAATTTACAGTAAATATATTTTTTTTGTTAAAAAAGTTCAATTTTGGGTGTTTTTAGATTAATTTCTGTTTGTATTGTTTGATTATAAATTAAAACAGAACACACACACAAAAAAAAATAATATCCAATATGAATAAAATTGAATTCCTGAAGAAAGAATGAAATGGTGCGCTAATTTTAATCAAGAGTATATAAAGTTTGATAAATTTCTGATTGGTACAGTTGAGGATGACTAGGAAGTTGGTAACATAAATATTTAAGTACGAGGTTCTCCCTAGAGGAAACTAAAATATGATTTCAAGGAATAGGTAAATAATAAAAAAATAATATATTATGACAAGTCTTATGGAGAATATGATGATGATGTGGGATACTTTCTGAAGATGGGATATAAAAGTGAATCTCGAAACGTTATGGTGTAATTGAGTGTAATGGTTTTGAGAGAATAAATCACTGAAACAAATATTCTTACTTATATAAGTCTGATTAATATTTATTTTACGAAAGCTTCCTCTGAAGTCATTATTTTTTGTTTGCTTTTTATTTGTATACATTATTAAATCTATTATAAAATAATGAAAATTAATGATGATTGGAGATAATATATTTAAAGGACGATTACGTAACTCCCAACAATGTTTTACACTTTATTTCAATTTTAAGATATATCATTTCCGAGTATCCTTGTTTTGATTTAGGATTTAGGATTGATGCATAGGTGAGAAATATTCTACAAAGATATTCATCACAATTTAAACCTTTACTTGTGGGGTACTAATAACTGTTAATTGATTTATGATATTTAAAAATAATCTAACTGAAAACAGCAGTCGGTACTATGTGTTAGTATTTCGGAATACTTATACAGTGGAAAGTCGTAGAATGGAAACAATTTATATCGGATGTATTTAAACAATTTAATAAAAAATCTACCGTGGAAAAAACTCTGACATGGGAGAAAGTTTATCAAAATGGTCACACAAATATTGTAAAGAAACAAGTTTGTCAGCTTTCGTTTAAATTATTTGAAGCTTTATTTAATTTATTTATTGAAGTGAATATTCTCACCGTATAAAATTAAAAAAAAAAAAAATGGAGAAATCACAATGATGAAATATCTTTACTATGGAAAAAAAACAAAAAAAAAAACACGTACATTAATTTTCTTGAAACAAAAGTAAATATTTTTGTAAATTTGGAAATTATTTGAAACGTGAAGTTTTAATTGTAAATTAGAGAAAATAATTCATCCTAATATTTTACGGTTAGAAAATAAATTTATTTACAAGATGTATAAAACTGTTTTATAGAAACCTCTATAACACAATCATGAAAAAAATTATGAATTTGAAAAGAACTAACCAAAGCAGCTCACTTTTGCTGTTCAGAAAAATTGACATTTCATGTATTTATGAATCAGCTTCATAATTAATGTTGCCCGCTTTCAATTTTAAGATTTAATTATTTAAGATTTAGTTTAAGATTGATGAATATGTCAGAAATATTCCATAAAGATATTTTATATCCTTTAATCATGGATCTTCCGGGCTGGAACCCTCCAAAATAGTAAAATGTAACCATGTTTTATGGTAAAAAATAAACTCTTAAAGTATTATTATTCGTGTAATTACATTTAATAGAACTTCAAGAATCACTTAAACACCATTTCATATAGGTAATTAGTTAGTTTTTTTGTTTTTCGCTCAAAATAGTAATAATTTCCAAAAAAAAAAAAACTTTCGGATTGGGGCCCCATTCCCATTCCCCAAAATCATTTCTTTCTAAAATAATTATCGTTATATTTATGAAAAAAAAAAGCTTACGGACTAAAGCCCCCCTTACAAAATTAAATCCGGGATCCGCTATTGGAGTACTAATATAATACCTGTTATTTGATTTATGATCTTTAAAAAGAATCTAATTGAAAACCCTAAGTTTCTCTACTTATAATTTGAGTAACGCTACTTATTTGAAGTAGCTATTTATTATTTCAGTTTTTTTCTATATTTCAAATTACAATCTTCATTTTTGAATATGTTAATTATTATATTTATGTTTGTCTATTAAGTAATAAAGGCAAATGTACTGTAATTAGATAAAACTTTGTTTTAATTAAATTAATTTTAACTTGACAAAGAAAAGAAAAAAAGAGATAAATAACTTAATTATAATTGGTTCATAATTGACAGGCGATGTAATGTTGGTTTCATAAAGCAGAAAGTTTTTTAGGGACCAAGTAATATTACGTGACGAGTACATTCATGGTGCGGGTACTGGCCGTGTCATGTTGGCATTAATTCTCGTTTCGGAATATCCGGTGGACTGGTACGTCCATTTAGTGCATTGTGGAGGCGTTGGTTAACTAGCTATTTAACAGTAAAAATGGAAATGAGCGGACATTTTTCACTTTATGTATTCTGTGACTCATGAAATATAATTGTTCATATGGCCTGTGGTTTTTATGTATCGTTCACTCAATACAGAAGGTTTGAACTTTGTATTCCTGTGAGAAGTTAAAAAAAAAAATCTTTAAAATTCTAAACCGCCATACCCATGTAACTGGCATATCACTGCAGTTTGTCTGATTTTAATGAAATTTTTAGATATTTTGTGTGTTGATGTCCCACATCAATTTTATGAAAATTCATCCAATATTTTCGCTTGCTAATGTATCTTCTATGACACGCCTATATCCCTGCAATGGCTCGCATAATTTGGATCGAATTTGGAGGAAATTCTAGGATTAGTAATAACAAGTGATAGTGTATCAATTTCATGGAGAGGATGTGTTGGGAAAATCATGACTGAACTGGTGTTTCTAGGAAGTTGGTGAAATTGACGAAGGCGTGTACAAATGACCCTGAATTGCGAGTCATAATACTAGAAGAAGCCTTCAAAATTTGAACTGGCTACGGCACCGATGTTTAACTTAGAGCTGGAGAATATGAAAATGGAGGAGAGTACTTCGGAATGAATCTTTGGATATGCAAATGATACAGCTGTCCTTGGAAACTACCGAGATGACATTGAGGAGCTGGTTATCACTCCGATAAGAGAAGCAAAGTAAATCCGCCTACAAGTAAATGAAGATAAAACAAAATGTATGATAATTAGCCGAAAAGTCCATCCCAACAACAGGATCTACGTAGAATGGAAATCGTTCCCAAGAGTAGAAAAATTCAAATACCTCGGATCCACAATAACCTCAATGAATGACCAATGATCGAAGATAGACCCGCGTATAACAAGCACAGAGTTTTTTTTCCCTATCAATTAATTAATAATATTTATTAAACAATTATTTAATCATATTTATTAATAAATTAATTAACCATATTTATTAACCAATTAATTAATATCAAATGATGAAGGGTATGCAATACTTAGTCAAAATCAGTTCTGATTTAAGGCTGCGAGACCTGGATACTAAAAAGCATCTTTTTAAAGAATAGAGAAAAATCCTCCGCTTGAAAACCGGTGTGATCTGGGATCTGGGAGTATTAAGGAGTCGAAGAGAAAGACCAATAAAAAAACGGCTTACAGAAACGGGTCAATCAATATCTCATAGAATAAAGGCAAAGAGGTTAAGATGGGAAGCCTCTACACAACAATGAATGCCTCTACAAATGATGGATAGATGGATAGTCAACAAATACGTAATAGTCCAGCATGTGCATAACTTGAAAGAAATATCCCAAGATAGGCTGAGATGGGAAGATCTGGTTAAGGCGGTGAAACATCTACAAGGTCTGTATTGCTAACAAAAAAAAAAATTGTTAAGAATGTATGGCAGTAAGCAGAGGGTCGTAGAGAGAAACTAAGGAAGCTCAAGAGATAATTTTCCCGAGCCCTCATCTAACATTAAAACCCAGTTAAAACCTTTTAGAAAGTATGGAATAAAAATATTATGCAAAGATATTACATAGGCATTATTTTTTTACTTTTTTAGAGATGAAGTATTTTTGAAAAGTGTTAAATTTCAATTATTCTATTTATATATATGATGAATAAATTATTACGATCATCTGATTAATTGAATGAAATCAAGGACCAATCAATAAAAAAAAACTGACTTGACAAAAAGCTTCTTTAGTTTGATGACTTTAAACAAAATATATTTTTTTTTTTTGCGTTTTGCCATGTTTAAAAGTTTTGAAAAGAAAATTTACAGTACAGCGACAGGGATATTTTTAGTCTTTTTTCTCCCTTTGCTATAATCTAATTCAGATACGGCAGCATATAGTTGTTATTGGAAAAAATAATCTCTTAATTCGACACCAATATACTTAAAATTATGCTCTCCTTTGCTTGCTTAACGAGTTTACAATTTTCTGGAATGTCTGGACCAGTTGTTCTTAAAAGTAGTGCATTAGAACTAACGAACTCTTAAGATTTATATATTAGTATATATCCAGGAATCTCCTTTAGGGTGAAAGCGAAAAAAAATTGTTTATAAAGCTTAATAAATTAATAAAACAAACGAAGGCAGGAAACCTATTTATTACGGGGAACATACACCATAATATCAAATAATACAGTTGGTGTCATCATTAAACTGTTTCTAAGGATCATTTAGGGTTCTTACGTGCTTCCATTTAAAAGATACAAGTTTTAAAATATAAGGCAGATACTTATTTCTGGATCCATCAATAGTATACATTATTTTTTAAATGAATTAATTTTCATAATTTGTCTTTCCTGCATATAATTATAAATTGTCGATTGTTAAACGAAGACAATAAATCAAAATATTCTTGCTCAATACAGGATTGTTTTTTCTGTAACCCATAATAGAGTAACCTTGGGTGATAATGAAGATTAATAAGGAAAAAAGAAAATCGTAAAAACTTGTTCTTTTGAGCCGCATATGCAGAATCTGAGATCACATTGAAGAGACATGGAAGTATTTACGACCCAGGATTTTTCTGGTAAAATACTGAATGTAACAAATGAGATATAATTGTTTAAAATTAATTATATGATTATGTACTGTGATACCCAACATAATTTCCAAATATAAACTGGTTTTCATATTTTGTTCTGAAAGCGTATTGGTTGTAACATTAAGAATCCGTTATATTTTTTTAATACTTAAACCTCGAAATGTAACTTGTATTTTTGTTTTGGAATTTTATTTAAAAAAATACTTATTGAATATTTGATTCAACCAATTTAACAAATGATTCAACATATACAAATGTGAAAGCTGAATATTTAAACAAACAAAAAATCGAACATTTTGTTTCTTATTATTTATTTAAATATCGTAACTGAAATTACAAAGCCACATGAAACACCAATACGCAAGTAAAAAGAAAAAAAAAATACCACCTACTATAACTACAATGTACTAAAAATACCTTAAGATTATGAAATTAATTATTTTGATTTAACTTGATGGATGATTAAAGATTTTTATTGCAACTTTTATTCAGGTCTGTAATGAGAATCCTAGGCCAAAATATCCGTTAATAATAAACATATTGCGTGTATCATTTGCCATTCCATCCTGCAGTATTGTTTTTGTTCATTCAACTCTTCAGGTGATTTGGTTCAAGTAATAATCTATTAATATTTTTATTTCTTTTATTCTTAAAAAATCAAAAATATTTCTTGAAAACCAATCTTCGAATAAGCTTCATTTCCCTCCATCGTTTCCTTGAATTCTCCTGATTTTTTATCCAAGAAAACAAATAACAGCTTAAATAGCAGCGCAAATTGTACTTAACTCCAACCAAGAAACCTGGAAAGCAAGAATAGCAATGAAAGGACGACGGGTTGGTCTAAAGATGTTGAGGTCGCTCCACACCACTGATTCACATAAGTGTTTATGCAGTCCTTCACGATGTAATCAAAATAAATTTATTACAACAAATATTAATTCTAGTAGTGATGTAACATTACTTAGATATTCAGTTCTATTTTTTTACATTTTTTCTCTTTAATTCACACATATGTCATATTAAATTAGAAAATTAACAATCGGTAGAATGGCACGTGAGTCAATCGGTCCCCAAATGGTCCCTAATTTACAAGCAGCAGTTATTCAGGAACAATTAAATATATTGCTTAGTTATGAAATGTATCCTAAATAATTAAATATATATGTATCATTAGTACAGAATGATATATTTTCCCGATCATTGAAACATAGAATATAATAGAATAAAATAGAAAATTGAACTTTATTCTGGGACTAAGTCCCATTAGAATAACAATGATGAATTAATACAAAACTAGTAGGCCCGTGCGAAAAATTCGCACAGCATATTGTTATCAAATGCCAGATTAATAAGAAAATAAAATAATACAACCTATCAAAAGATAAATAAATCAAATGTTGCTTCATCGATAAATATAATCGACAAAGAAAACAAAAATGAATTTAAATCTTCATTTTTGTTTGAAACTAACATGTTTACAAATTTCAGTAAGCTGTATCATTGCTAAAAATTGTCCGATTTCAATGATATTTTTTTCATTTTGTAGGAAATTTAGTAATCTTTTATATAATCATGGGAAAAGTGTGTAATTTTTTAGTTATTCGCAAATAAAGTTTGTTTTCTTTCATAACTTTTTTGCCTGAATTTTCGGGATGATTGGACTATTTTGTCCGCCTGAAGGAGAAGGAAGCCTTCGAAATTGGTGGCTCAATCTTGAGATTTGGTGAAAAATTGACGATGATATCTTGCCGATCAAAAACACCATCGATAAATAATGTAAACTCCTCCTCTCTCGATCATAGAGACCTCAAGTCGACGAAATGAGACATGTATTCAATGGCAGTACTACAATTGTGTGGATGCGAACCCTATGCCTTGCGCTTAAAAACGCAGGATCTGATAGTTCCGGAGGAACTATCCGGGTCTTGCTGTACGCATCAAAATCTACTAGATCCAATTTGTCCAATATCGATCTACAGACCTACCACTGTTCAGGTATTGAAGCCTAGCAAAATGTTTGTATCGACTTTATTTATTTTAGAAAGAAAAACAAAAGTGGAGAATACGATTCGCTGACCCCCCGTGAAATTCTGAATCCAACGGTGCCCCATTCATGGTATTTGAGCATGACAGGAGCTTATATTTGGTACAAAACCGATTTCGAGCCTTACTGTAATAATATATGTACGGATAAAATACAAATCTGGCCAAAAACTAACATATGGAAATTCTAACATTATATACATTATTTAAAAAGTAGTATTTAACCACTAAAAAATAAACAAAAAAAATATATATATAAATGAACATAAAATCTTCTCAAAATTACTTATTATTGTGATGAAAAAAAGAAAATAAATTACATATCTATCTATACGTAACTACACAATTTATAAACAATAGGCTATCTAATAGAAAAATAAATTAATACAAAATGCAATAATATCTCTACAGTGATTTATATAATAATATGCGAACACTAAGATAAAATAAAATCTCAGGATTACTTATGGTGTGATGAAAAAAAAGGAACTATGTATACTTACATACTCATATTGGTGCACAGAGAGACAAAAACTATAAAATATAAACATATATACCCGAAAGAAAAAGCACAACCTGAGGCGAAGAGAAAAACAAATAAATAGTAAAAATAATAGTCAAACTAGGTGACAGAGATCATTGCTGTTTTAATGAAATTAGAAAATTAGAAAAAAATACCAATACATACTCTGGTATTGGCGTATAATTTCCTTCAGTGGGTAAGTTCAAATTTACTTTTTTACTATTTAATGTATAATCGTAGCCAATGGATTTTCTTATATCCGATAAATTATACCAGGGATGCGTTTGAGAAAGAGAAGCAGGGATCTTCTGGACACTGTTTTTCCCTTCATATTTGGAAGAACAAGCCTAGAGTTCTCTAATTGTATTCATGTCTGTTTTGTTTTTTTAATTTACTTATATTTAAGTTGTTTTTATACACTTTCTTATTAGTTGTTATTTTGTTCTCGTTTTATTTTATTCATTTATATTTTCAGTATACATGGTGTAAATGTACTTTGCTCACTATTACTATTATCCATATGACAGAAGGTTATATTACTCAATTAAAAAATAAATAAATAAAATAAAGCGTATTTTAATAAATTCAAGCAGAATGATCACACCTTAAAAAAAAAAAAAACTGTTCACAGCTGAAGGATGCCGCGATCCAATAGTGGAAATCTTAGTTTCACCGCTGGTAAGCAAGAAGGCGCTGCGCATCATGGACCTCTCCTGGGACGTCGGTTCACGATGGAGGCCGGGTGATTGGGTTGGCCTGTACAATGTAAACCCGAGTTGGCAAGCAAAACCTGTATTCAGGTACATATTTATGTTGCTATATATGTATATTAGATCAGTATGTTTTATGATATGATTTAGCCAAATATAAATACAAAGCTGACCTTGAGATAAGACTGAGGATGTTTGTTGAATTGCTTCATATGAGGGATTCCCTAGCGCTCTCATATCTGATGGTGATATGACTTGTTTTAAGAAATTAGAAAAAAAAAACCTTCCATTTCTTATTCAGCGTCCTACTCTAGACTATTTTAATACAAGATTCCAACCGATCAAGATATAAATTTTTATTGATACTTCTCTCTAGACATTTTAGACCGCTGAATTTTAAATTTCCGGACGCCTCTCTATCAATCAGACACAGAATTAATTATTTTTGGTTCTTTGTTTCTCGATTCTCTATTCGATACTTAAAAGAAAAAAATTCTATTGGCCCGGTCGAACTAACGAGCTGATCTCATTGTTTTATTTTGTAGCGTGCCTTTCTGCACGATTCCCAGATTTATCTTTCGTATCATCGTTACATCTATATAAATAAGTCTTTGTTTTATTTCCTTATACCTTTTGAAATCTAAGGACTGATCTCCTTGTTTTTTCGAATCGATAATGTTATAAAAAATGATCTTTTCATCATAATTGGCTCCATTATTGCCTTAAAATGTTCTTCATTGACGTCTACACATACCAAAAAGATGATTTTTATGGTCTAAAGTTTCTTTTACGAATCGAGTATGTTATAAAAGTATATCCTCGTAGTCATCCTAATCATGCTGACCAAATGATTGAGGGGAACCCAGAGAAAATAAAAATTGCAAATATGAACAAGATTACAGTTAATATAAATTATATATAGAATACTTAAAGAATTATTATTAATAACTTATTTCTCTATATATATACATATAAAATCAAACAAACATATTTTTTAGGGGTATACTTTTTCCCAGGATAATGTCGTTTATCATTATCTTGAGTAATGAATGTCATAATTATGGAAATAAAAAAATATAAATGTTATTGTTTTCATTAAAATTAAATTATCATAAGATTATTTATTGTATATGAATAACTATGTATTGTATATATATATATATATATAGAGGGGGAATATGGCACCAACTTAAATTACTTTTGAAGGAAAAACATATAAATTTAAAAAATAGCAAGTAAGAAATATAGTGTTCAATGCAATTCATCCATGACATAAATACATATTTTATTTTTTAATTTATTTTTCTATTATTTGATTGAGTTTGAGTGTTATTGATTTACAACTAGACGATCGTTTGCTGTTTATACTAACGGGTGATAAACAGATATTGAAATGATGTTCCCTGCCCAGGTCTCACGCTAATGGAGCTTTGGGGACGGTGAGAACTGGAATTGAAGAAGGTAGGGTCTTCTTGGAGCCCTACTACCACAAGCTGTGTCTTGGCTGGTGGGCCGCCTACTGGAGTCAGAACAGCTCCCAACCAAGTAGGTCTAGCAGGATATCTTTAATATGTTGATTAATTAAAACTAACATTTATTTATTTTTGTTTATTCTTTAATGACTAATGAGAGTTAGATTAGAAAAAAAAAATACCCTTCCGAACACAATCCAGGGTGGCCTATGGTTTTGTAAGTATATCTGGAAAAATCGGCCAAGTAGCCATGAATAATAGAGACGGATTTTTTTTTTAAATTAGATTTTTGATTTTACGTGCCTTGAAAGATAAAAGCTCAAATTTGAGCGAAGGTCCTTTTGAAGGCAGCAATCTATTTTTAAAATCATTGTTTTAATTAAGAAATATCATCATTATTCAAGGTTACACAATAAATCACTTTGATTTCTATGCATAATTCTATTTCTGTTTACCGAATCATTCTGTATATACACTATCAGCTTATAAATCGTTAAGTTTTAGTTATTTTGATATTATAATTCTACTGAAAGCTGTTATGTGAATTATAATCCAAGAGATGTGTCGACATTTTGTGACTAATTAGAAAAAAATTTAAGTTATAATATCCATTCTCAGTATTTGATTTAGACTAGTTTGCCTACTCCCACTAGCTGATCCAGGATTTAGTTTTAGGGGAGCTTCACCCCGAAAGATTTTTTTAAAAATATATAACGATAATTACTTAAGAAGAAAAAGAAAGGAACTGACTACCTGTATGAAATAGATTTTAAGTGATTCTTCAAGTACTATTGAATGTAATTACATGAACAATAATACTGTTAGAGGTAATTATTAAACATTTTTTTCATAAGACATAGTTATATTTTACTATTTTGGGGAGACTTCAGCCCGAATGCTTCCCTCTCTCTTCCCTCCCCCTCTCCGTAGATCCTCCCATCCTTCCTCCAAAAATTAAGGGATTATTTCGAAATAGCCCCTATTGAAAATGGTACCTAATTCATTAAAATTGCATTATTTGAAGTTGATTTCTTTTCAGTCAAATATTAAAAAATTGCACACCCTTTCACCCAGAATGGCAACAAAAAACTTGTTTGCTGAAGTTTGATTTGGGCGTAGAACTGGCAGAGAAAATTAAAAATCAATGGATTTAGTCCCTTTTTTGTCAAAATATTAACATCCGCCTTAAACTTTGTGAATAGCTTCATCTCATCGTAACCTACAAGTAATTTATTTACGAAAACTCTCGGAATTTGGTTCGTTATTTTGAAATATGTAGGTCCCGCCAAAAGGCCCAATAATATTGTAAGCCACCTTTTTTCTCGATTTTGTGATCTAATTATATTACGGTTCGAGTAAAAAGCAAATGAGTATTTACAAGTTTTTAGTACCTAATTAAATAGATAATGTTTGCCATAATCATAATGAATCATAATTGTAGGTTACGAAGAGACGAAGTTATTTACGAAGTTTCAGGCGGATGTTAACAATTTGATAAAAAGGTATCCTGTATCCCGAACATTTTTTTTTAGATAATTATCAACTGCTTTGTAGTGAGTTCTATCTGGCTCAATCTAGCCCTCAGAGAGTTCTTTACGTCCAAAAGTGCAAGATAGAGATGTTGCTATAGATATCTATCGATATAGACATTTCCCTATCTCGAAGTTATTACTAAATTTCAAGAAAATACAGATTATATAGTTTATATGGTAAATTTCGATCGACTTTTTTCTGTACTGTTAGTAAATCAATTTTAATAAGATAATTTATTATTCTATATTTTCTTTACAGATACTCAATTAATGTATATCCTATAAATGAATCAATCAATCCATATCCTTTCTTTGGAAAGTTTATTGTTCAGTTTATAAATATCGTCTTCATGATTCATGTTTTCTTCCAATTATAATCTCTTACTTCACTTCCGGCCCACCTGAGTATTGTTGATTGTCGTAACATAAATACAATTGTGGGAATAGTAGCTAACTCCCCGGTTACGTTAATTTTCTATTTACACGTCATTGATTGCATCAAGAATCGTTCCTAGAATACTTTGCCATTCATATTACAATTATTGCCCAAGCAAGGTTCAACGACTAGCAATAATTGAGTTGCTTGTTATAAAAAGTGGAGATCTCCATTTCCAAATTCAAATTTCGATAAATAATGGAAGTTTTACAAAGCTGTGCTCATATAAATACAATTATTAAATTAATGAATATTTGATAGTTGACCGTTGCATTATAAAGGAAGGAGATGATCCGGGGTGGCGGTCATAAATAGGCTTATAATTTATGACCGCCACCCTGGACCATCTCCTTCCTTTAATTATTAAATTAGCACGAAGACTAAAATTTTCATGTTTGCATTGTTCATTTTTAAACTTTCCGAACACCAGAACGTCAGATCGTAATAAACTTCAGTATTAAGAGAATGTAAGCAGACGTAATTACGGCGTATATTTGCTTTGACGTAATGGCATGACTCAGTATAGATTTAACATGATGATTCTGCAAACGAAAGGGAATATGTTATTTAAAAATGAAACCTGTAGGTTTTTATTAATTTTACGACCTTAATAAACAGGAGTACTTATCAATTATTAGTTATCAATTCATAAGATTTAAAATAGACACAGTAAGTGCACCAGTGACAGACATAGCTGAGGAAATTTTTATCTTTTTTGGTTTATGTTGATGTAATTATTATAGTTATAATCTTCTTCGTTGGACATTTGAAATCTCTAGATTCTCGTTTTTCTATTTAGCACTTTTAAATTAAAACAATATTCAGTTATGTAGGTATAATCACCATTTTAAAAAACATCTTTTTGTAATAGTGATGGACACGTCGAAATTCAATTGTTTTAGTAACGGACAGAGAGTCGGTACCAGTTATGGGCAAGCATACCTCAGAAAAATTCTAAACTCTTTATTTAACTATAAAGATAACGATATAGTTAAGCTATCATAAATGTTTAAATTACAATTGATTAAATTACACACTGATCTCAAGAGCACTGTAGAAACAACAATGATAGGCATTCTCAATTTTTTTTTTTAGAACTTTGTTCATACATTTGTCATTAGTCATTGCAAATAAGCATTTTTCTTCAATCTTAAAGAAGCTGGAACCTTTAAATTTACATGGAAGCTTATTATTTACACTTAAAGTCCAACCAATCCATCACTGCGTACACACTAAATAATTTATAATGAACATACTCTATTCATTATATGTAAAGTGAGAGATTATGCCTCAGGGGTGAGGCATAAATCTTTATACATGTTTAAACTTTAAACTCATAATCATATTGTTTTCGTATTCTAATTTTTTTAAACTGATTAACTGTGGTATTATTTGTAATAATTTGCAATATTTCTTATTTTAAATAACAGGGTTGGCTTATTTTAAATAGTTTGATGGTATAGCTCATATAATTTTATTGTTCTCAGCTGCGGTTCAGAAAGATCTTCAGTCCACTGGGTTCCGATCTTTATCTACCCATGCTGGGTTCACATTTCTTCCTAGGTCACGCGACGGTGTATTTTGTTCACTTTCACTTACATAATGGAGTTATGTAACAGTAATGGCTGGAGACCTAGAGACTGTTTTATTTTGTTTAGAGTAAGAAAGGTTACCTAGGATGTAAATATCAATCCGAAAAATTCCCATGTATATGGTTCAGTTTTTAACAGTGATTGTTAACATTTGATGGCAAGTTATGATCGAAAGTCTTATTGTGATAATGAACGTATTTTTCCCCACACCCAAGATTTCCAATAATTTTATTAATTGAAATTTCAAACCCAGTTATCAGATATAAAAATACAATTTGTTTCAAACATAATTATGTGAATACGAATCTTATAAGTTGAATATAATTTCAAATCTGATATCCTTAAACTATTTTTCTGCCACGAAAATGATTTTAATAACAACCTTTGAATATTATTTGTACTTTTTTTTTTTAAGTAAACGATCCTAGAGCAGTACAATACTGCATGAATATAGACCTTTCCAAATAGGGAATTCCCAGTCCCAATGTCGTTTATAAGAACTGTTTTCCTGTTTTTGATAGATAAGAAATCTATAAACATTTATAATTTTTATCCATTTTTTTTTTGTCCAGATAATAATCCACTTGACTCTAAAATCATTGCCAGAGTTATTGTCTCAACAAACAAGCTAGTTGTATTTACACGAGAGAAAAAAAAATGGGTCTGCAATAACAGTTTCACTATTGTAGAATTAACAAGTAACTGAAAGTAATAAAATTAAATGTATCCGAAATAAATTTTTATATTATTCTATTCAGTAACCATAGAATAAATAGGCAATTAAGATCTTATTATAACCATACCTTCTATAATGATTTTGGAGAATACGTCTGTATTTTGATTTCGTCTACAAAGAGATTTTTTTTTTAAATATATGGAAAATAAAATATTCTATAGTTTTAGTGTTATCACATTAAGAAAATTTAATTTGGATAAAAATTAATGAGATTGATGCAATAATACTATGTTTCCAAATGGAAAACCTCTTACCAATTATCTGGTGATTTCCTCGGCATCTTTCTTCAACAGCAGCAGTGGCAGAACGGCACTAAATATGTGTTATTGTTTCACAAGATTCAATTATCCTTCTTCGCAAGGAATTAAGGTTATTGAGCGGACTTCCATAGACTTTTTATTTAATGTAACCCCATACAAAAAAATCCACTGGTGTCATACATTGATACACGGTCAATCCATTGATTGGGATAATTAACATTTAGCCATTGTCGTGGACCTCTTCCGTAATATGCTGGACAACTATCTAATTGAAGCCACGTGTCCCTTCTTAGTTGTAGTGGAATATGTTCATCTAAATCATAGTAATCATTATTAGGAAATTCCATAAATGTGCCCGCATTAAGTCGAGGTGGCAAGAAAAGCGGACCTATCAAAATATTGGACATATTTAATATGAATTTTCATGTTTACATTTAATTAATAAAGTAGTCAAAACAAATAAATAGGTTTTATTTATTTCATATAACTTAAATAATTCACAACAATGAAAATCTTTAGGTGTGAATATCTTCTAAACAAAGCGTTTCCGGACGTAGCTTCAGAGGAGTTGTTTTTCTAGTTTTGAGATCCTTAGTTCATATTTGCAGTTTGGCCACTAAGCCCTGGAACGCGCTGTATATATATATATATATATATATATATATATATATATATATATATATATATATATATATATTCTTATATTGTTTACACACGCTATTTTGTTAATCCAAAAATCTTCACTGAAATCTGAAATCTTGAAAACTTAAAATGAATCGAACTATCTATTTCCATTGGTCTAACAGGAAGGGAGGGGGAAGGTGGTACAAAACAGACAGAAACAACATTTTGTATAAAATAGCAACAAATATAAACAACAAAATTATGAAAAATTGATTGGCAGTGAGAGATTGGTTGTATTCCAACATATTGAAAGAAAATTATTATAAAAAATGACATCCACTTCATGAAAGACATTAAAGTTGATCTCCTTCCGTTATGAGATGGTTATGCCCTTTTCCGTTTTTCATTGCACATCAATCATTTTTTATTACTATTTCTTCAGCACCATTAAATAGTTTGTAGTATCAGATATTAATAAGTAATTCAACTTCACATCTGTTTTCTATTTGTTTCTCCAAGAAAAAAATGTTTTATAACTTTGTAAATAATGTAACCTTGAAATAGATTTTATTCATTGACCAAAGCCACCTCAATGCACCGCAACAATTCACACTAGCTATTGTTACAGAAAATAATAGAACCACTAGTGCCTACATCCGTTACAACAACATCTTTTGATACTAAAATCATGAAAAAAAAATCATTATATAACAAAGAATTTTGTTCAAAAAGTTAGATTTTAATCTTTTGGTTTTCTAAATAATCTAAAAGTACTAAAATATTATTATAAATCTGAAATATGGATGATAATAGAATTGTTTATTTTACAATTATAGCATATTTATAGATTTGGTTTGGTTTTGAAAGCATTTGTATACTCATTTCAATTAGGGCAGGAAGAGTGGATTAACTATCATATTCAATGGCATACTGGCAAGGTCTGGGATCCACACGATAAGAAATTCACAGTGTACTTGAATATACCAGAATATTTTTCCAACTCAATTACATTAGATCGTCTTCTACTACCGGTTAATGTTTATCGTTTTAGTCTCGTTTTGGAAATTACAAGTTTACATTTGACAAATTCCGGGAAATTATTCTACTTATTTACCTTCTTTAGCTCTTAACGCTTTAGTAAAACCATTATAAGAAAAGCTAATTTCTAAATTTTCACAATATATTTTTGGCTATGGTTCGGAAGTAGGGATCCTGGAGGCAGGATCCAAAAATCGACTTCATCGCAGGCGAATGTTCGAATGTAAATGATGAAAGTGTATGTTATAATATGTAAAATGAACATTGTCTGCCGTTCCAGAGCTGCTGATTTAAAGAATATTAGGACAATAACTTGAGGATCGAAACGAGAAATATATTGCGAAAAATCTGGGAAAAGCTGTTATTTTTTAAATTTATCTATACGGGTTTGAACATGTAAAATCCTAAATTTATAATTCGAGCAACCAATGGAAAACTTTTTACAGCCGAAAAGGTCATATTTTTTTGTTTTTTCAAATACAACTCCTAAACGTTGCATCGAATCGAAAAATATACACTTTAAGAACGTTAAATTGTACGTCGAACGAGTATTTAAACTTAATAATTTGGAAAAGTATTATGGTAGAAAACCAGGGTCAACAAACGCTGATTTTTACCAAATTTGTCAAAACCGGAGACAAATTACTCTAAATGGCCCTGTTGTAGCTTGGAAATGAGTTGTCTGAGAGAAAAAACTTGTAGAATCAAAGTTGTAGATCATAAAATCCTACGTCTACTGAGTACCAACAGTTTTGATGTAGGTCAATTATATCTCTTGAATCGAGATTTCTTATTTCTTCATGAAGATATATTTCTATTAATATTTCGTTTCTCAAAATCCTTCGCTGCTGAGAGGAGGAAAAGAGGTCTATACTGCATACAACAGACTCTAAACAAGAATAACTAAGTAGAATACTGACCACACCCAACACCCGAACTGTTAAAATATTTAAAATTTTTAATATTGGAATTCATTACCTATTCCAAGCCATCGGGAGATTACAGACTTTGTGCGGTGTAAGTAGCGGTGTAAGCTACATTAAAACTGTTTGTACACAGAGGAAGCAGAATGTCATGCTCTACAGCTTGGATTCTATAAGCATTTCCTCTTAGTGAACTAAATTTTGAATCAATAGGGCCATTTAGAGTAATTTGTTTTAGTTTTTGACAAATTTGGTAAAAATCAGCGTTCCCTGATCATGGATTTCTATCATACTTCTTAAACCAATCATTAAGTTCAGGTACTAATTCGACGCACAATTTAACGTTCTTACTAGTTGTACGTGAAATAAAAAAAAGATCGAAAAATATGGCTTTTTGGCTGTAAAAGTTTTTCTTGGTTAGAAATTTAGGATTATACATGATCAAACCAATATATATAAGTTAAAAAAATAACAACTTTCCTCATATTTTTTGTAATATATTCTCCTTTTCAATCTTAAAGTTACTGGCCTAATATTCTTGAAATCAGCCGCCATTTTTGAAAGCAGCGGCTCTGGAATGGCAGACAAAGTTCATTTTACTTAGAATAACATACACTTTCGTAATTTACATTCAAACCTTAGCCTGCGGTGAGGTCGATTTTTTGGCCCTGGCTCCAGGGCTATCCTAATACGATTAATTTTTTCCAGAGGCGTTGGAAGTGACCAGATGCAGACCATGACAGAAACTATTATTTTTAGACTCTTTGGGAATCCCCCATCACCACATATCTAGGCCTTCGCTTATTTAATTCTATAAATCTTTCTTGGCATATCTGATATGTATTCCAATAGTCCGACCTAACTCTCTTTTATTTTTGTATAATAGTATCTATTGATTGATGAGTTTGCTGTGTAATTTAGCAACTCAACACAATTAAGCAGCCGTGCAATGTATTCCATGCAATGTATGCATTTCTCTATTTTCCTTGCAGTCCATTACTTTCTAGTTTATGGCCCAATAGTGGAGGATCTTTAGGCTGATCTTTGAACCTTCCATTGATACGACACTCATTAAAATTTCACATGATCTGCAAGAGATGATCAATTAGAAACGAATATAAAGTAAATCGTTATTAGTATCTGTGGAAATGGTTTCAGTGGCGGTGAGCTGCCTGAGCTCCAACCCACGATGGATGGAAGAACTGGAGCCCCTGATCTCCTCGCTGAGGCTGAACGAAGCCTTTATACCAGGCACCCACGACTCCGGGGCCTTCCACCTCGCGTACAGGCCCTTCAGCGACAACAGGCTCACCAAATATGTCTACGCGCAGGTGGGTGTACCACATTGCATATATTCTTACTGTACTTCTATAACTTATTTGAAATGCAATATTTTAAAACTTGAATTATATGACAGGATGAAAGCATCATGGAGCAACTCATCCATGGAGCCCGGTACTTGGACCTTCGAATAGGACTTTACGATGGGAAGTTCTGGGTGAACCATGGAATTGCCAAAGTTCATCCTTTAGAATTTATCCTTAAAGATGTAAAAACATTTGTTGATAATACAAGAGAAATAGTGATCCTTGACTTTCATGAATTTCTGAATGGTATGTCCAGATAACCTTTTGTAACAGTTAACATTTGAAAGTTATTTTTGTTACAGTAAAAATTTGAAAGTACCTTTGGTACATTAGTGTCAATGTTCTAAAACTATATAGCTTTGCTTATCTATGTTGTTAAAAAGTCAAATAAAATTAATAAGTAGTATAAAGATATACATTTTAATATTTAATTTAAACATTCAATTAAACAAAATAAATATAGTAAATACAAGTTGAACTATGTAAACATAACACGATCCTGATTCGTGAAAGGATGATATCTAAAGATCAAAGAAGTTGTAATACGATTCACGATATAAAACAATTGTTTTTTTTTTTTCAAAAATTGATCATTTTGGATTGAAGTGAAAATTAAGTTGGCCGCTTAATCGTTCTCGATTCCAGCGGTGACGCACAGTGGCTGAAATACTTTTTTCTGAAGGTGTTGGAAATATAATTTTCTCTTTGTTATTGATAAATGCATTAGTTACCTGAGATATTTCACTCATTTATTCGTTAAATTATTTTTTAAACTTGTAGCGAGCCCTTTAAACAGATTCTAGCTTTTCTGTAATTAGATCTTTATTTTATTTTGTAAATTGAATTAAATTTATTAGTTGATTTTTTAACGAGCCTCTATATGAAATAAAAATATTATTGGTCATTTAATAAACAAGTTATTATCTAATAAATAAATTATTTTATCTTTTTCTTATATTTAAAATTAATCATCGCGCCCTAAAAACAGCCATTAATTGGCAAAAAAAAAATGATTGGTTCGGTTGTATTTATTCACATTAAAAACAAGAATTCCGTGGTACTTTAGCTATATAAGCTATAGCTATATGATAAATAATTCAGTATATCTTTGTATTTTATTTAAATTTATTCTGTAAAACTTTTAAACTGTAAGATGTTAAAAATATGTAAATATAATAAAAGATAAATTTAAAAAAAAAAAATGCTTCTTCGGCTTCTATTTATTTCGGATTAAATAAAAGAACTTCGTCGTATTTTTATCATGTAGTGTATAAATTAATATATATTTAATTCTATTTTTTTAAATTTATTGTTACAACTGTATGGTTTGAGAATATAAAGAATTGAAAAATACATTTTATTTAGTACATCTCTGCTTGAACCCTGAGTTTGACGAGTATTCTACGTTTATATTCCATTAAAGCTTACTTATAATTCATTTTTTAAAAAAAAATTTTTTATTAAGGTTTCAAAGATAGAACTGCACATATCAAACTGCTCGAGTTCATCAAACGAGAGGTAGGTGAACATCTTGCTCCTCCTCATCTTGGATGGAGCGTGACGCTAGGTCAGCTGTGGAAGATGGACAAAAGGATAATCGCTGCATATAATGAAAAGACCATCGTGAGGGAGAGAGCCGGCGAAGTGTGGTGGCCTGTCCGCCATGCCTGGGGCGACAAGAGGAAGATTCAGGATCTATTTCTCTATTTGAAAAATATATTCTCCAGGTTTGTACGTTTTCAAAAAAATGTTCATATTGTTTTATTTAGTAAGCCTATAGCTGGTTTAACATTGGGTAAGTAGTGTGTATTATTATTTTGCAAGTAACTGTATGATTGGTGTAATTGTAGGATGCTGAAAAAGAGGAGATTGCTGGCTGGGTTAGCTATGTATAGAGACCAGATTTTCGTGCAGTAAAAACCGAAAAACGTGCAATATAAAACTCAAAATGTGCAAAATCGTGCAGTAAAACCTCAAGTATAAAATTGTACACATAACATACAAAAATAATAGTTTTGTATAGTTTATAATATAATTGCTTGTTTAATGTAAATTGAAGTTAGGTGTAACATCTAGTAACATCAGAAAAAATCTACTTCTAAATTAAAGTGAACGATTGATCTAAATCGGTAATAAAGAAAGTCAGCTTACGAAAAATTAATCATATATTTTAAAAACCGGTGCATTTTTAAATTGAGGCTTGATTTTACTGTTGCAGATTAATTTAAATTTTTAAAAATGTGGATTTTGAGTGAAGCTCATTTACTTTTTCTAAAATCCATATTCCCTTGTCTAACCCAGCGGCGTTTTGTCAAAGAACATTTAGCCAAGCGACAATATAACGTTTGTTTACAAATACTTTCATACTTTTTTTGTTTGAAAACTGGAAAATAAATATACACATGTTTTGGAACCGGGAATAACAGAAATATGAGTATAAGGGAATTTATAAGTGACAATATTAACTTATATTATTAAGTATGTTACCCTCAATTATACTACTATTTATGCAATAAAATGTGTGAACTTGGATAGTAGTTTTGTTATTTATATCAAACAATAGGAGTCTAAAATATCTCTTGGTCCCAGAAAAATAACTTGAAAATGTTATTTTAAATAAAATAATTGAGAACAAAAAATTAAAAATTATTTTTGGTATTATACCATCCATAGGTTGGACACCCCTGTTCTCAACTACAAACCTAATTTAATATACAATAAATTTAAATAAATATTTACATGCCTATGTACATCTTATAAAAGAAATTTGGTTCAAGTATTTTACTTTATACTGTTAAAATTGAAATTTAGCTCTGAAATTTTTAAAATATGCAATATCATGCAGAAAAAAACAAAAACGTGCAATTAAGCCCAAAAAGACAAAATCCTGCAATTTCATGCAAAATGAAATTTCAATATGTTATCCTCCAGAACGCGAAACAGATATATTGTCGGGTTTGAAGTTTTTACACCAATGTATACTGGATACAAAATCCAACCAGTAGGCCTAAGACATGTACGCAGAAAAAAGTAGAACAAGAGTTTTTAGAAGGAACATTTAGAAGTACACCTATATGAGCGCTTGGTATTAAAATATTTGAGAAAAGGATATATGATGAAGCGAAAGTCGTGGATCAGGAAAAATTTATTTACTCATTTAGTAAAAATTATTTAGTATCCATAATATGTTATCATTAGAAGCTTTGAGGTTTGCAAAGCACCCAACGAATGACCAAAATATCCATGTCTGAAATCCGTATGTCTCTGATTTTGTTCTGAAGACGAAATCAGAATATAAATATAAATAAAATTTAATAAAAACGGTTACTCAGGATCATAATAAAATTTTATTATTTAAACACATTTCTTCTATCGATTAATTTTAAAAATAAAATATGAAAATACCTCTATCGACAGTGAATATACCATACTCAATCCACACGTTTCGATAACAAACATAAGTATATTTACTATATTTTTAATTTATTATCTAAATCAATACTTTATCTTTAATTTAATGATTACAGAAACGTTTGTCGGTAACATGACAACTCCTCTTATCTCCGAATCAACAACACATATTATCTTTTTTTTGCCCAATGGTTCTGAACTTCAATAAAATTTGACAATCCATTGAAAACTCCTGCAATTAAATTTCAAAGTTTGGCTTATTTTTCAAGGGTTATTTGTAATTTTAGTTTTGTTAACGACCATTTAAGACAATGGTCGCCTTGATAAGGATTTAGAGAACAGGTATTTTTTTATTTTATATTGGAATTATATTCAGGTCACCTCCGATAAGAAACTTTTAGTCATCACATGACGAAGAACTTTCTTAAGTAGTTCAAGTGAAATCGGCAAACCATGTGTATAGAATCGTATGATCACATGGCCTCCGCCACACAATGTAGAGCATTCTAATGACAGCACAAGTGAAGTGAAATTCAATAGAGATACACTATGAGTCAATTTAAATGCCGGGACTTCTATTGATTATTGATTTTCAAACTAACTTTAATGTTATATAACAAGAATTGTTGATTTTATTTATTTATAAAAACATTTACAATTATTTTCTGATTTTGATGGCCCTAAAAACATCTTTGCATTATATTTTTGCAGAAATTTAAAAACTCAAGGAATTTTCTGGAGTGCCATGGCTGAATTGACACCTAACTTTTGGGACGTATTGTTGGACAAACTGAATGGATTACGACAACTGGCTGATGACACCAACAAGGATATCACTAACTGGTTTCGTGGAGAGTGGGGTTCCAAAGCCAACGGAGTTGCTGTGGATTTTATTAGGTAATTTGTCGGTTGTAAAATATAAATTAATAATAATGTTCCTACTTTTTTAAATGTTTGTTAAAATTTAATAATGCCTTTAGTTCTTTGTAAATTAGACATTTAAGAGAAAACAAATATATAATTTTTATTGCATTAAAATATAGATTTAAAAATAAAACATGTACAATTTTCTGATGGATTTACGTTTGATTTTGGTTTATTATTTTCAATCATGAACCATTGTTATAGAATAAAAAATTCAAAATCTTAACCCTCTCAAAATTTGAGATTTTACGTTTCAGGATATGTAGAATCCGAAAAACGAATAAAAAATGTTTTGTCCGTCCACCGTTCGCCGTCCGCGCATTTTCTCCGAAACTACTGGACTGCTTTTTTTCAAATTTGAATTTAAAATTAGAGGTCACCCGAGGATGGTCCTCCTTTATGGACATTTCTTTCCGCTTTTTTTGTTTTCATCTTCCAAAATATGTATAAGTACCAGGAGCAACAATAAGGTTGAAGGCATTTTAAGGCTGGTATTAAGGTCTCCTCCTGTGTGTAGTGGGAACATCGATGGATAGATCTCCATTTAAAAGTGTAATTCCCAAGTTTTTTCCTGGTTGTTCAAGGTTTATCATTACTGATGCATTCCTCTATGGTGGGTATTGGGAAAATAAAATACTCAGGGCGGACGAAAACCAGCCAGGGGAGATGAGTCTCCAAGCCGTGGTGAAGGCAACCTCTCTAGGGCATGAGAAGCCTGAAATAAAATCTCCTGGCCCTCCAGATTGGGGGTTGGGCGTTAGGCTAGTAACTCAAACCCGAAAAAAATCAAACCTACTGTGAATCCTGAACAATGAAAAGCCAGACTGATCTCTCTGTTACGATATAACGCCCGTCTAAAGGACATTCCATTAGGATCTTGGAATGTGTTCTCACTTAATCGAGATGGAGCATCTTTAAACCAACTAGATACCTATCGGATTGATATATCTGCAATCCAGGAGATTCGGTGGTTTGGAAACGGAATGATAAGGAAGGGTATTCACACAGTGCTTACATATCGATCTGAATGCTGTACTTTATCCAAAGCCCAGAAAAATCAATTCGTCCAATTTGAAAGAAAGGTATTAAGAAGAATTTTCGGAGTGATTTTTGATTTCCATGAGCTAATCTGGCGGATTATGACAAACGCCGAAATATCGAAGCTGAAGACTGCGCACTTCATCAGGGTTGGCCTGCTCAGGTGGGCTGGGCATGTGGCCAGGATGAAGGCCGACTCAATACCAAAGAGGCTTCTCGAAGAAGAAATTCACACCACTAGAAGGCTTCGACGGCCCAGGCTGCGATGGGTGGATTGTGTGAATAAGGATGCACCTTACTTATGCACCTGTGAATGACGGATCTTACTTCAGGCGTAGAACCATGGAACAAGATGAAGAAGAAGATGCATTCCTGTATATCGTAGTGTGATTTTATAAAGCATTAAGCTTACCTCTATAAACGGCATATTTAATGCTAAAAGATTGTTTCAAATTGGATTAGTACTTAGAAAATACCAAACGACTTATGCGTTCAAACAGACATTTCAAGTTTATATAGTAGTATACGGTAGTATAGTATGCAGTTCAGAAGTATAGTATGCATATTCATAGATAAAGACAACAGGCATACAACATAAACCTTATAAATTTGGAAAACGTTCTAATAAAATCGTATGGTCAGAAAAAAAAAATCGAGTATCGTTCAACTTCGGCCGGATGTTCTTTTTGTTTTTCTTTATTACGAATGAAACTGAATAAGTCATGTACCTTGTTTTGTTTCGTTACTGACAGATTTTCAAAAAATATCAGGTTTTTGGGGATGGGACTATTATTTTGTTCAATCGTTAATGCTAATTGTTTTACAAAAACATTTTATCTCTGAGTGCAGATGATTTATGAAAATAAGTAAAGGATTACTTCTAAATATACGAAGCATTCATCGACAGAGATTTTCTCTGAGCGAAAAACACAACACAAGTTGAAAACTTTTTATATGCCATATGGTTCTCTTATTCTAATTATTACTAATCTTATGTACTGATTTCAGATCAAGCGGAATTGTCGAAACAGCGATTCGCTGGAACAAGAGAAAAGCTCGATATTCACTGTGTGATTAATAGTATTTATGATGCTGTGATACTTTTTTTTAATGTTGATAATAAAAATATTTGTGTACAAAGTTTCAGTTAATTCTGAGACTTAGAGTCTGATCAAAGAAATGTTCAGTATTTTACCATTTTAAACACAAAAACCTAAGGATTTATGTGATATAGTTTGTAAGTTTCAAGACTGTCAAAATCACAATTAGTTTATTTGGTCTGTTTTGCCTCTGATTGCTTAAAATAACTGTGAATTATTATATTATAGACAGTATACCATCTTACATCGGTGTATTTCAAATTGCTCATTGACGGAAGACGAATACCAGCAGACGTACAGGGAAAGGATGCCGTTGTAGAATTTCCTATGATTACTGGCAATGCCTTCTTAAAGAAACATCTAGAAGTGAAAAACTCTCCTCTCTGTAATTTAATTAAGTTTCCTATTCGAGAGCATTCATAGGTGCCAGTCATTAAACGTAAGCTCTCCTTGATCTGAGATAAGAAATACGACACAGTACAGATCACAATGGTATTTGGCTGCTAGATCCTTAATGGCGGAACATGAAAAAAAAATTGTGAAAACTAACAAAAAAATTAAACAAATGAACAAAGATATGGGAATAACAAATAGATCACTCATATTTACCCATTTATTATCATGACTGATTGTAGAACTTGCCTGTCCGAAGAGATGTGGTTCTATAGTTTGTGTATTATTTTTTTTTAAACTCTAAGATAGATATTAAAAGTTTGTATCTTTAAATAAATAAAATATGTATTTAATAGATAAATTTGTATTTATTTCTTAATAAAACAATCTTTATTTAGTATTCATAAGTTATTTTTCAATAATTAGTTAGATAATATTACATGTAGGTTATTTACTGATGTAAGGGTTTATTTTATTTTATTTTTTTTATTTTGATTTTTTTCAAAATTTATTATTTAATCCACACCTGTCACAGCCTGTCACAATAAGCGGATGTGATATTTTGTAAGAGTAAATTTCAAGGAAGAAATGAATGATTATTGATTAGAAAAAAATATTATTATCATATTGGTTATATTAATTTAAAAATATATATCGAATAATAACAAAAACAAAATTAATTAGAAAGGTGACATTATTTCAAATACTGGTATAAATAGTGTTTATGATTTATGCTTGTGTTTAAGATGTTATTTTACTTTGCTTAACTTTAAATTTAATTTTTAGTACTTTTATCATTTTCCTAACATTTAATTTAAATTTTCTATAAATTTGGTGTAAATGAGCTCCTCTCTTTTCATTATTAACGACGTAGTTGTAGCAGAATGTAATGTGTTCAATGAAAACAAAACAAAAAATTAAACCTATAATATTACAATTATAGATTATAAAGAATATATTTTTGTACTTAATACAATATTATAATAATTCCCTCTGAATCAGATCAAGAAGAATACCATTTTTTACAATTACGGTTAATAACAATCATATATAGAACAAAACGTATTTATTTATTTATTTTTTAATATTACCTAGTCAAATGGATGTGTAGAATTCACTTTAATAGACAAAAACGAATTTAATTATTGAATGAAGGGTATAACAACATATAAAAAGGCTAATCTAATGCATCTTTTGAAGTCCTGAGTGATACAGTCAGCTGAAAAAAAAAAAACTCAATTTAGAAATAACACAATATAGAAATTTTACAATATAGTACAATACATAATATATTACTACAAAAACATTCACATTAAAATCATTCATGATAGATTTTATGACACCTATAAAACTAGGTATGTATTTAATGCAGTAATCATATTCGTTAGCATCCCAATAATGAAAAAAAGAAAAAACACTACAACCCATGGCGGGTCTATGGTTTATTACTTTGTCAGGGAGTACTGTTTTTAACGACTTGTGCAGAGAGGTGATCGAGCCGGGATCATGCTCAACTACCAGGTTTTCCTCTCATTTAATTATTTAAATTAATATTGCCCACTTTATAGTGGCTATGTGTGCCCCCAGAAGGGTCTCCCGACACCAGGGTCGATCTACGCCTGATGAAAAATTACTTGTCATCAGCCGGACTCAAACACCAGACCTAGAGCTTAGCGGTTCAGTGCGTAACACACTCATTTCCCAATAATAATAAAGCTAAAGTATCAAATATTGAATGAATGCAAAACTTCAATACTGAAATCCGATGGTTGAACATCGTTAAGGAAAAATCACAATAATTGGATTATCATAGTTACAATTAAAATATCTTTCAATTCGCTTGATCAAAATCAGTGGCATAATCGGCCTTGTATAAGTCATATGTAATTGTTCGTTTTTTATTGAAGTAAAAACTTCTTTAGGCGCGCTTTGCACTTCTTTTGTTCCGAGTGAATTAGATTGAGTCGTCAGATTTCCGATGTGTTAACGCTCGGGTAAAGTCGGCTGGAGTTGACTAATTGAAGTGTTTTGCATATGGATGAAAATATATCAAAAACTAAAAATCGGACCTGCCTATTGTTAGTGATAGAAATTTTCATCCTCTTAGTAATGAGCTATTATTCAAAATTGTATATTAACACAACATTATGTTTGGGAGGCGAAAAGGAAAAAAGTAGTGCCGAAATCCAAACGATAACGAGTTTATAGAATATGGATTAAAATATCTCAGAAACTAGAAATCGGACCTCCATACTTTAAGCCAGGGAAATGTTCAACATTATATCTTCCTTATAATGAGCTATTATTTATTTATAACATTTAATTTTTTTTTTTTTTTTTTAGCATTAATTCTGTCTGCCACAATGAAGGGCATTGGTACTAGTGCTATAGTATCCCTTCACACAATATTTACATAAGAAAGGAAAATAAATATAAATAACCAAAGTAAGAAGAAAAAGAAAAAAAGAAGTATATATATAAAAAAGATAAAGTAATATACAACTAAGTAAAAGAACAGATTAAAGCCGAATGTAAATAAAACAGATTCACACCTATGTATAATATTTACATTGGCCCAGGGGAATTTGAATCAAGCTATGTCCTCCAAATGTGGAAGTCAAAGCAGGACTCCAGGAGATCCCAGTGGTTCTCTCCCAGCCGCGCCACTGGTATTGTAAGCCAGTGGAGACTGGTGGAGGGCACTAGAGCTGTTGCTCAGGGCTTGAGTGAAGAATCTGGCCAGTGCCAATATTTACATTCATATTGTTAATCTCGCCTTGTTTTTTTTTAGAAGTTTTCTCTTCTATCGTGTGGTCTAAAGCACACATCTCGATTTTTTTATGTACAGTTAATTCCAAATACGTATTTTTCTGTTAGCAATAACTTAATACTCGAGTTTGAGTTCATAAATATATGTATATAGATACTGTTTTTCATAGATTTGATATAGTGTTAAATTTTTTGACGCTAATTAAATTTAAATTTTTGGATAATATTTAGTTATATGATGGCAGGAATTATAATGGACAAATATCTTGTGTGCTACGAATTCCTTCCTCTAAATTTATCTCTTATTTATTTAACAAATAATGCTTTACTGTTATTTTACCATTGTCTTTTTGGTATCATCTGCTTAAAATTTTTCTATTGGCAAAGAACAAAATATCTTTATTTTCACTGAACACAATAGATTATAGAATAATGAAGAGAAGAATAGTTGGGGTGTTCAGTCAAAAAGGATGGCAAAAATAAATTATAATATTTATTAATATATCTCTCGTACCTATTTAGGCTTCCAGCGCTTTAGTTCAAACTTCGTCGGATAACCGTTAGAGATGACGCCACCTACACATCTCTTCTCTCTCCCCCTCCCTTGTAACGACTTTTATTCTCCCTTCGACACTTAAGGAGACAGGTAGTACTTCTTTTATTTCTTTCTTATTTCAGCTTTCTCAATTTCTTCCCTCCTTCCTTTCATTCCTTTTCTCTGTTTTTAACTCTTTATTATATTATACATTGTCTGTACATCTTGATAGACTTTACAATATCTCAATTTTCTATCTAACTACTCCGTTCTCAATGTTTTAATTTTACTATTTATTTTCATTTCTTATATAACTTTATATTTCTTTTTTATGTTTTACATTTTATTCTAAGATTCCCATTGTAACACTTTTGTCACCCCTTTTTGATTATGCCTACTTCATCATTCCACACTATGTAACAGTTTTTATTATTTATTTCTTAGTTCTTAGTCATTATTCTAACAATTTCATTTTACTTTATATTTATCTATTTTATTTTTCTAATAATTTTTTTTTTATTTTTTTTTTATTATCTTTTTTACCATCATTACTTATGTTTCTCATACCTTGTTATCTGGTTATTTTCTTAGCCCTGATGAAGGCCTGAACTTCAGGTCGAAACGTCGGCATATGTAAAAAATAAATATTATAATTTATTTTTGCCTTCCTTTTTGACTGAACACCCCAACTATTCTTATCTTCATTATCCACGACAGTCAACCAATTACCAATTAAAAAAGATTATAGAATAGATTATAGATCTCACCCGATCCCCTCTGTGCTATTGGATCATCTTCACTATATTTGCTGAGGGTAAGTTCGACGTGGGACCTCTCGGGAAAAAAGGTCTTCCCTTGAGACCCCACACAGCTCACCAAGATCGGGCCCGGACCTCCTCTAGCTCGTACCCGAAGACACGAGTATTTAGTGAGAAGTCCGTTGTCATCAGTGATAACATAATCCTTCTTTATGCACTTCTTGTTAATCTAAAAAATACAAGAGAAAAATCAGGAATAATGTTTTTTAATACACATTCATATTTAAAATATATGTCATTAATATATAATTTTTATCATACAAAATAACTTTCTGACAAGTTTTATTGAAAAATGATTTGATTAATTAAACAAACAGATTTTTTCCATGAATAAAGGCCGGGACTAAGATAGTCTAGAGAAGCAAGTTTAATTTTGCTGCCCCTTCAATTACCTCCGGCTGCTGCTTCCTATATATGTATTTTAAGTAAGATATTCCGGAACAAATATTATCATCTCTTAACATTAATCCATTTTTAGGCTGAATGAACATAAAAAAAAGGAAAACTATTTTATGTTAGAACACAATTTCGCTTGAAATTAGCGTCCTCCGAATTCTGTTACCTGGAACAAGCGGCCTATATCTATCTAGTTATAGGACCTGTAATGAATGATCATTATAATTCGCTTTCAAGTACAAAAAATTAAAAAGCAATATTAATTAACTGTAGCTTTTCTGTTCCAATAAATTCTTAAAATGTGATACATATGTGAACATAATTTAAACTACTCACTTTTAAAATGATTTATTTTTAGATGACTTTTATTATAGAGGGTGTCCTATAAATTTCTAATTATATTTTAGAGCTAATAATAGACCCTATAAGCACAAAAAATTAATCAAATCATTAATCGCTCAGTTGAACTGGTATATTTTTAAAGTAAATCACGTTTTTTGTTTAATAAGAAGTGATATCAATGTTTTACATCACGTTATTTCCTATTGCAGCTTATAGGCAGCGGAATACGTCCTTTTTATCATATTATTATCATCCGTCAAAAACTTCGTGAACGACTTCTTCTTATCGTAACCTAAAAAATGTTTTTCTGCGAAAATTCTCAAAAAAAGGGACGTTTTTTCATTAATTTCATGAGATATTAAAAACTCATAAATACCTATTTGGTTTCCACTTGAATCTTACGGTAATTTGATCATGAAATCGGAAAAAAGTGACCTACAAAAATATTGGGCCGTTTGGCCTAAACAACCTCGTTATTTTCATGTTGGGGATGAAGGTAACGCCAAACGGTCCAATATTTATGTAGGTCACATTATAAATACTTACTTCTAATAGCTTCATATGTAGGGCATTGCAACAAAAAATTGTATAAATCTTCTGGTTCCCGTGTATTACAAATGAGGCATTTAGCGCTCTTATCTAAACCGTAAGAAGTAACCTTCAAGTACTCCGGTTGGCACAGTCTTAGTTGGCTAACCATTCTATGCTTTCTTATTGGCCCCTTAATTTTAGATAATATTCACCCTTAGTGAAGCTATTAATGTTTCTAAAGTTTTGATTGAATTTTGAGTTCAATATAGATTGACTATCGAGGGAAAATTTATTACATTTTAATTTTTCAATAATACTTTTACATTCTATTTCAAATAATCCTTTATTTTTAATATTAATTAATTCAACCGAGTCTACTTCTCTCAGCATATTTATGAATTATAGGTACCAATTATATTTTTCGTTGATTAAATAATTAGAGGAATGTTTTTTTTATATTTGTAAACATACTCTGGTAACCGGTTGTCTTCCATTTGGTCTACTTTTCGATACCAGCAAATCATACAATGTGTTGTATAAAATTTGTTTAATCTCTTTGTGGAAAGGTATGCAACTATATTTTTAGCGAATGGCTGACCTGTTTTTTACGTTTTATGGCAACAATTATTCAGAGAGATCCTGTGGGTGTTTTCATTTAAGAATTCTCAATATTTTGTTAGTTTCATATTATTTCACGTGTATTTTCGTAAACATATTTGACGAACACAATTTAATAAGTTGTCTATACTTAAAAAACTAAAAACATTTTTTTAAAAATAATTTAATTTAAAATTTTATAAAATATGAAAATAAACCTATCGACTCTAAGGGAATGTACTTGCAAATCTGCTTAAATAGTTTGCTCGACTGTAAAGGAAATTGACGTCTACGAATATTTGAATTAGGTGCAGTAATCAGATGCATTTCATCCCCGAACAAAACTTAAGACTCCTTCTGATGTTGACATGCACTGATGCATGTAAATAAACAGGGGTGCCCATCCCCCTCCCCCCAAGGTCAATGGTCATTAATTCTTCTCCCACTCATTCCAAGATATTTTATACAATTACACATTCTGTGGTCTCTTCCATACTTCCACTTGTTTTTTATATTTGAAACTTTTCATTTTGAAAATTCATAACCCCGTCGAAATGTGCCCCCCTAAAAATTTGAAAACTCCTTCAAAGTTTGCTCCCTCCCCCTCATAAATTTTATTAGCACTATGAAAACCCCTTCTGGGCACCCTGTAACTAAATCAAGAATCATATAAGTCAGTTAAATAGTAATATAAGTCAATATCACAATAAGTAAATAGGCAAGTACATTTGTATAGATGCTTAGGCATGCTTCCGTGGTCAGTTTCTTTTTTTAATTTAAATTATTTTTCCTACATTACATAAGATTTGAAACAAATTAATTAATATCACAATAATAACTGACTTGAATCCCATTTAAGAACCAGAAAATATTTTGAACTGGAAACGATTTGCCTGTGACGCACTGAGCAACAATATCTTCATTTGGTTGAATTTCGGTCTTCTCAATGAATACTTGTGGTTTTTTGTCGGGTTGGTCTGAAACATGTTTGTCACATATATTGTAATCTGTTCATTAATTAATTCAAATATTTATGAAAATCTAACTTAATAATTCTCTAATAAAATCTAATATTAAATTTTCATACAAAATTTTTGTCTGTACATTTGTTTTTTTTCAAACACAAAAAATAAAAATGGCTAAGAAAATAAAATATAGTAGAATTTAAATGTAATTTATTGTGCGTTTTCTTCATATTTGCCTATTTCATATTTCCATCAACTTAGGTGAACAAATGATTTTTAAAAATGGGAATAAGTGATTATATGAACAATAAATGTTAATATTATTATTATTTTTTTTTGGAGGGGAGTGTTAGATTGCTATAATACTAATATGTACAGTATACACGCGTTGCTGTGGCTCAGTCTGGTTGAATAGGAAAAGAAATAATAAGAGAAAATAAAAAAAAGAAAGCTGGTGTTTCTAATATATTTTATATAACAATATTTGTAGATATGCAATACTTTTTGTTCTTTTATTATTTGTAAATATAAAGATTTTCTGGTTTTCCATCTGTAAAATAGGTCACTGTCTATGTGAGTAGCAATCCCATGTAAATCTTCGAAGAAAGCTACTATATGTTTAAATCATTATATATGTTTAAATCATTATATCTCTGCACCAAATCTACCGATTTTTTTTATTTTAAGGGAATTCAGAAAGCTTTCAAATAATGATGAGTATAATCAAACAAAAATTCTGTACATTTTGAGATATTCGCAAATATATTTTTTTTAAACTCTTTTATATACTTTTTTCATTCTCTTTTCGGGTAACTTCAAGGAGAAGACTTTATCAAAGTTTAATTAAAATCTTTAAAGCCGTTTAAAATCTATAAAAACACTCCTGAATCCCATTGAAACGTTTTGTCAATATTTCAAAGGAGTCTGTGAAGTAGTTTTTGAAATTAGCGATTTTGAACAAACGAACATTTACGTTCTTATTAATATAGATTGCACTAAAATTAAATCGCTGAATGCCTTTTTTTATTGATATTTACTGGCTAACCAAAGGCAAAGTAATGGAACTACGCTTGTAAATAAGACAGCTGACAGGATTTACTTAATAACAGGCACGCTAGGCTCAGAGCAACTTCGATCAACATTAATCTTGTTACTAACACCAATTTTAACAATCATCTCTTTTCCATCGAATCTGAAATAATAGTAGAATATTCTTAGAAAAAAATCTATGACATGTTGAAATATTCTGTTTTTAATATAGAAAACTTGCTCAACTTAATTCCTTTTTAAGTGACATTGTTTTGTTTTTTTAATTTAATTTTAATTCCAGAATGGAGTAAAATTTGTCGAAGAGGAACGATTAAAGTGTCAGATAGATAATGTAAAGTATTGTGTTCTTCAGTTTTAAAAAATGTCCTGGTATAAGTCGGTGTAAAATATCTGAGCAATGTAACGCAGAAAGTTGTCCGTTACTCCGTGTGATTTATGTATCGTAATATGGAATATAACAAAGGCGAGTTAATGGTCAGGTATTATCTTTTAATTAATCAATTTATTGAAAATGTTTTGAAAAAATCTATCCTCCAAAGAAAAATGTTAGCTTTTTTAAAAATGATTATCCTAAAATTTACTTTGGATTAAATGTTAATTATAGCTCTACTGACAAGTAAAACTATATGAATATTTTTTTCTTTGAATTGAAAATTTCATTATATATACATATGATTCCTGGTGCTGATGAGTTGACTCAATGTTTAACACAAGAACATGAAAAATTAAATTTAAATAGTCTTTTGAATAATTCTAAAACTATATCTAGTATATTAATCATATAAATGTAATGCTAATTACAGAAAACGTCCATTATTTTTGATTCCTGGACAGTTTCGAAAGCTGGACTATCAGAAGAAACCTCGCACCTGTACACTCCAGCTGATGAAATAGATACGTTAACTAAGCTCACCACATGCATGTCCGATTTCTCCATCTGCATATCAAACAAATTTTAAAATGAGCATATATATGTCATTATTTATCATATATATTAAAAAAAAAATCATGATATCACCTCACAAAACAAAATAATTCTTTCATTTTTCTGTATATTTATCATGGTACTACACAAACCTACACTGAATGTCGCACTGTGGGGCCAAAATATCTTTTAGGAGAAAAAATATTGGAAAAAAGACAAATGATATGAAGTATAGATCAATTGGTTGTTGCCCTTTACTCCTTTACTTGCGCTGATACGTGAAATGTATAAAGGTTCATGATAATTATCTATGCTTTTAATGGGTACAACCATAAAACATTTTTTTTTACATATTTACTCACGTCTACTTCAATTCCGGAAATATTAAACATCCTAGTTTTAGGTCGTTCGGACGGAGTAAATCTAAAGAATTCGTCTTCATCTTTATACCACTTGACAGACTCTAAGCGTAGGCTGCCCAGGCGATATCTGCAAGCAATTTTCACTGGGTGGAACAATTTAGCCAATGCTGGTACTTCAAGCCGCTCCATACTCAAACAGGAGCTGTCTAAAAATATTTAATTTTACGATAAATAATTGTTAGCCAAATGAGAGGAATGAAAAATTTAATGTTATACATCAAAGTATATTATACTTCAATTAAACGCTAAAGTATTCTTAATTAATTTTTGTATTTTAAAAATTATAAAGAACAGAAATGTTTACCACCAAGATACATAATAACAATAGACTTTCTGATATGGATAGAAGTTTAAAATAAACTTACCATGCATTGTAGCGAAGAAAAGGAAGTATAGGAACCAGCTGAAAACCATTCCTCCTCCTTTGGCTGACATGAGCTAAGAAAAGTTGCGCTTGCTCAGTAGTGAGTGGGCCCTTTGGCCCGCAATGAGCTGACTAAATGATGGTCGAATAAAACATATTGTAGTACTTCATATTGCTTATAAGAATTACAAATTTTTTATCCAGTGTTTGCTAATAAAGCATTATGGTCTCATCTTCTAAATGTCGAGTACGTATTTTCAAATGGCTGGCCTATTTTGTCGGATAAATCATCTCTTTGACTTAAAGACTTATCATTGAAAAGACATATTTATTATCATTGAATTCGTTTGATTACTCAAAAGTTTTCCTGAACTTAAATGATTAATCATCAGTCACAAAACTGTAGTAATATGTGCAACTGCTTTCTGTAGAAAGTTGTTGAAGAGTTGTGGGTTTTGTGATTGTGTCATTAATTAAAATTATATTTTACTTGATATCAGATTTTGAAAAAAAAAACTTTTTACTCCTTAGTAATTTCATATTTTTGGAACAGCGAGTCCGAAAATTATCAGCTATTATTTTATTCTTTGAATATATATTTTCCTATCAACTGTAAAATCGAATGTTTTTTTTGGTTTTGCTTAACTGATTTATTGATATTTACAACAGTATACATATATTCATGTAAATCTGCTAAAATAATATGACATGATAAGAACTTGTGAAGAAGCTTGGCCACACTTCAAAGATTAGATTAATTTAGGAGGTCCCTTGGCTATCATCTTTTCAAAAACAGAATTTTGTGATGAATTGTTTTGGATGAAAAATTATTATTCCAAAACGTTTGGAAGTAATAGAAAAATATCTAATTCCGACCAAGTCATTGACAAAGGGAATGATGAGGTCTTTATGGATAATTTTATTTGTGACATAATAAGGAGCATTAAGGATTTTCCTGACGATTTTAGATTGTAAGGATTGGATACGGAAGGATTCGATGTTTTAGTATAGACCCAAATCTCAATTCCATATGTCTAAACGGGGCTGATAATGATAGTGTCTATGAGTTTTTTGTACAATAGAACGTTCTTCAGGTATGTCTTTTCAGTTTAGTATGAGGATTCCTAGTACGACGTTTGTCAAGGAGTCCTAAGGCAACGGATCTTTAGATTGGATAAGTTGGATATTTAACATTCGAATGTTAAAAAACGTATTTTAAAGGATTTCGATTAATTTTACTCCTGTTGATCGAATTTTGACTGAATTTGTATTATCCGATTAAGCTGAAATTCGATATCAAAAATTAAAGCGTTGACAATGCAATGTCATGATACTATCTAATGACGGACCAGGTATTGTAGAACGAACCTGCTTACTTTAAGGGATCTTGCATTCACCTTTCTTTTAAGCCTACTAATGATCCCTTATAGGTTTACTGATTAATACTAATAAAAGTTTGGGTCATAAGTTCTTTAGAACGACGCGGGTAGCTTAAAATATTTTTTTACATTTTCAAAACTAAAAAATAACTATTGAAGATTTTTAAAAGAAATTTTTCTAAATAAAATGTTTTTAAATGGACATTAATATGTTTCTTTTGTAAGAACTTAACGTAAAATAATACAATATGCCAGGAGGGCTTTTAAGCTGAAACCTTCAGAATAAAACAATACTTATCTTTCATTTGTCTATATGAGTGACCAGAGCTAAATACTAAACGATCACAATATGTTTTTAAATAAAAACGTATGAACTTTAGTTACTAAATGTAATCATTTCTCAAAAAATAATATAAAATAAATTATCCCTAAAAGCATAATTTTTATTGTTGTTTTAATTTTTTTTAACATTAATACAATAAAACTAAAGTTTATGAAAAACTTTTTTTCTGTGATCTCTGGCAGTAGCTGTTGATATTTAGAATCTGATTCTAATTTAAAATTTTAGGTGGGTATAATCATATTCCTACCTAATTATTTTTCATATCTATCTTACTGGAATTGATACTTGTGAGGGAGACTATTCCTGGCAAGTTGGAATTGTGGTAATTTTCGCCAATCCCTCATGGCTACCTTAAGGTTGTCGCTGCATTCTTAAAAGAGTGGAAATGTCCATTTTCTGGGACCATCGAGAAATAAATTTTAACTAACCCAGTTGGGAAGCCATAATGAAGCACCAGAAACCAGCACTCTGGGACCCATGCTCTAATGTGCTCGGGGATCACGTCCTCCATATTTACCTTAAAGAGAATAGCAAACCAATATAATTCAATATACATTTCCATGACATTAGACCATATGAAACGAAGTTGTTATTAAGCTAATTAATTAAATTATGTTGTTAATAAAAATAAGCTGATCTTTATATGATACACAATAAACAATGTGTATCGATCAGTAATTATTAAATACTTTGTCAGACCAATTGAAAACAATATTCAATTTAATATTTGATAATTAAATTGAATATTGTTTTCAATTGGTCTGACAAAGTATTTAATTATTACTGATCGATAAGCATTGTCAAACATTTGCAATAATTTAAGAAATAATTCTTTACATGAGAGGTGAAATGAATTAAAATAATTCCTTGACTAATTGAGGTATTTATTTTTTTCTTTATAAATATATCCACTTGCCTCAACAGTTAATAAATGTCTACTTGTTTATAAATCTTAACTCGTTATAATTTTCAATGTAGTTGTAGTTTCAATGTAACAGATAATTTAAAAACATAATGTGAGATACATTTCAAAAACTAAAATATAGATGTAATAGAAACTTCCTGATCATAATAAAATAAAATTAGCATTAAATGCATTTAAAAACTGACAAAATATTAGAAACCTAAAAAGAAATGTCTGCATCAAAATTAATTTATGAATTTCAAATTTTGTTTCTGAAAAACGTTATCTTCTATCAATTGAAATATTTTTAAAACAAGAAAATGGACTTTCTACATTAAAAACTCAAGCAAATTCATATGCACTTCAAATTATCAGCTTGTTGATTTCACTGTAAATTTGATTTGAAGTGTAGTTGCAAAAGACTATTTTTCCATGAATTTTGTAGACAGTTTTATCTTTGGCATTATAAGCGTTGATTCAAGATTTTAATTTTGAAGGAAATGATGTAGTTACTTCTAGTATTGAAAATAAAAATAAACATTGCGGCTAGTAAACCAAGTAAGAAACAAACTAAAATTGAAGGGAAGATAAAGTGAAATATATATACTAAAAAAATCAATTATTGAAGGTAGCATTTTTCGTTAAGGTCACATAAACCTATGATTGTAATCTGACATTTCATCATTAATTTATTATTGCAATTTAAAAAAATATATATTAATTGGAACTATCATAATATGCAGATTTATGCTATATAAAATATGACTAAATGCATATGAGTATGCTGATTCGTAAAGAAATTTGATCTGCAGTTTAAAAACTGTGTGCGATAGTATAGAAATCTGGTTTCTGGTGATATCATTACTTCAACTTTTCCCTTTAACTTCAGTATTACAAAAACAATTTCTAATTTAATTGTTAATTAAATTAATTTGTTTATAAACAAAAAAAGTTTGTTCATATCTGATTATTTATACTTGATATTTAATATTGGTTTATTAGTGATAATGAGGGTAAGGAGGAGGAATATCCTATATATGCTGATTATTGTAGTATCAGTTTGAAAAATATTATAGGAACAAAAAAAGAAAATTTTAACTATCTTTTGTTACCTTTTTTTAACTTATCATCAGTTTCAATGTGAAAGCCAACTTTTTAGGAGAGATATAACAAATGATAATTGAATCCTGTACATAAAATTTAGGCCAAAATAAAATAAACATAAATCAAAATGGTTTATACTTACAAGTGTCACACTGAGTAGGAGGTTATATAATAAATATTTTGGAAATTAAAGATCATCAATAATAACTTTTATAATTGAGTTTAGAAATGTAGGTGATATAAGTTTAAAATAAATTCATTTGACACTAAAAAAACAAAAAATATATATATTATTGCAAATAAAATAGATAACAATTATGCTTTGATGAGTATGTAAATCAGGTATAGGATTTAAACATTTTTGTTTGTAAATGTACTTATATAAAAATTCTATGATTAAATCATATAGTGGCCATTCAAAATATTAAACTTTTGCCAATTTATTGGACAAAAGATTATTAATAAACAATTATTTTTCAATATTTGAGGTTTTAAATGTAGGGATATATTAAAGGCATAAAGCCTTGTAAAGCAGTACAATATCCACTACTTGCAAATATTAGTTCTTATTTCTTATTCATTCTAATTATTCTTTGTAAATACATCACAATACTTGCACTAGTTTCATATCCACTAGTAGTAATAGTTTCAGATAAAATGGAAGGATACATGTTAAATCTTTAAATTATGTTGGATGCTTTGAATATGACATTGAAATCAAATTATCTGAAGTTCCTATATAAACATGGCATGAGATAAACTGGTATATTATTTCCAAAAACATCTCTGTATTAAAGTTTTTTTGGAAAGATTTAACAGTACAACATTATACACAAAGCATTACATTAGCATTGACAGTATAACAATTTTCAAATTGTTTTCTTTAGGAAAAAAAACAAACTTTATTTTAAAATTCCTGTTTTAAAATTATTTTACAGTTGAGTAGAATAATTTGAACAAAATGTGAAAGGACACTTTGAATATTACAATATGCAGAGGTGTCCATCTCCCCAAAGGTTGATGGCGCAAGAATGTTCCCCTCCCTCCCAACATATTTTATGCTTTCCTCTTCTTAAACAGTGCAAGGCTAAAGTAGATTTTAAAAAATCTTAGATCATATACAATTACAGTTATTTCCCTGGTTTGAAACTTTTCATTCCAAAAATTCATAACCCTATCGAAATGTGCACCACTCAAAAATTTTGATGGCGCTTCTTGCGCCATGATACCCCCTTCTGGGCACCCCTGACAATATAAAAATAAATTTAAGCAGAGTGGCTTGCATAAAATCCTCATTTTTTTTATCTTCATAAACATTCTAATTTTAAATAATGATTTTTTAAACTTTCCTTGCACATGGGACACATTTAATATCATTCCCACAATGATTGAAGTAAATAATAATGATTATTATAACAGATAAATGCATTTTAAAAATATATATGTATCAAATACATTTTTAATATTGTCCTAACCTAATTTAAAATAAGAATTTAATGAACTATTTTTAATAAATATATTCTGATCACAAATTATGGTTGTGAGCTAGATAAATAAACAGTGAATAATTTATATTAATATTCAGAACTGCAAAAATACAATTGATAAATATATATATATATATATATATATATATATATATATATATATATTTCTACTTCTTGCTGGCTTGTCTACTTGAGCAAATTAGTTTTATCATTCACTGGGAGTTAAATGTTCAGTGTATAAGCTCATACAAAAACAAATTTATTGCAACATTCAACAAATAATTATTTTTAAATAACAAATAAAAACAAAAATTATATAATACATCTACATTAAATAAACTACATATCAGACATCTATCTATACATAAAAAAAATATTACAAAATTATATAATAAGAAATCTGTATCACATTAATAGCTATAAATGAACTTATATACAACTTGATTTTAGTATAATTAGTTATTTTTCTAAATATACAATCTTTAATCTTAGATTACCCTGCTTCTATTCAATAAATCAAAGTACTCGTAAAATTTTAATATTGAAAACAAATTTATTAAATATTTTTCCAAATTTTGGTCTTGTAAGTCTATTTAATTGTGGTTTTCAATTCTCCAAGATATCACATCAATTAAAACTTCACATGGATATACAATGTTGACAGCACATTGAATTTATCCTGTAAAAAAAAAATGTTAAAGATAAAATAGAGATTAGTAAAATTCATCATGTGTTGGGGTGCGATACAGGATTTGTTCTAAATCCTTTGTCATTTGTATTAGTTATGCTGATATGAAAAGCTGCTGCAGAATAGGAAGCTATTTTATTGAATAATGGAAAATGAAGCAGTGAGAATATGAATATTTCCACCAGAAAATAATTTACTTTTGCACAGGAAAATTCTCAAATAATATTGACCTCCTATATCTAAAATTATTAATGCGGGGCTTAAAAATAAATATAACTAAAACTGAATAAAAGGTAATTTTTCAGTAAGAGTTATAGACATTCTTTTTAAATATAAATATAACAATAATCCAAGACCACTACATGATGATATATGATGAGAATGAAGTACAATTTCATCGATTTCTTAAGGATTTCATTTCATAGTTTTTAATTCTGCTATGACATAAATGATAAAAATATTAGGAAAAACTACAAATGTTATTTAACTTACATCATTTGAACTAAACCGCTTGGCTTTGTGGCTGCTGAGATCCAGTCGCAGATAGTCGTTGATGACAAGTCATTCCATTAACACCTTTCATTTCTTTAGTGTGCCGCCATTTCATGCGTCTATTTTGGAACCAGACTTTAACCTAAGAAAATTTATAAATTTTAACTAACCAGTAAATTGAGGATAATACAGGAGCATGATACATGCATATATATGGTTTGTATGATTATTTATCCATACTACATTGCTTATATATAATAAATTAATCCTCTAAACCATAAATTAAAACTAGTACCCTTTGTCTGACTATTAAGTTGGATAGAAAATATTTGTCTATAATGTGTAACGTCAAAATGGATCCAACGATTTTAATGAAACTTGACAAAAGTCATCTCTTCACAGGCTCTTAACTATGTGTGAATGGTTGATTTCGTAGAGCTTGGCCCAGTTTAATGTAAACTATTTACACTAGCAAAATACCTTTAATACATCATGATCAAAATTTAAATTCAAAAGTCAATTTTTTATTTATTCGGCTGTACCCAAAAGCCATTTACTGAGATTGTAGACACTTAACAAGTCATGTCTAAAGGTGAAAATTATTTTATTTTTGTGCTTACTCAAACACTTATAGGCATTTACAAATATCAATATAAATAAAAACAAAAATGGATAAGTTGTGGAAACTTAATAAAAGGTTGTGTTCAAGGAATTTAAATCATTCATCTAGCATCCCATCCGTTTTTCCTTCTGAGACAACTTCATGAAGAGGAGTCGGAAAAATATAAAATGCTTTATTTTTCATTACTCTCAATTTCTTTATATGAATGATCTGAGCTACACTTAAACAATCACAATATTTTCTCTTTTAAAATAATGAGGAATCCACTTTAGCTAATAACTGAAAGCATGTATTGAGAAAAATATAAGAATTTTATCCCTAAATTTCTTGTAATAAATGTAATTTAAAAACTAAACAAAACTACCCCTCTCTTAAAATAAAATCCTGAATCCGCTACTGCACCAGGTGCAAGTTGTCAAAAATATTTTGGATCCATTTTCCATTTTACTGTTTTCATGATTGATGCAATATCTTTTTCTAAACTTCTTTGATATTGCTTCAAAATTCTGTTGAAAGAAATCCAAATGAGAATCGATAAAATGTAGTTTTAACTAAATGAGCATCTTCTTATTAGAACTTTAGCATCTTCTTATTAGTTCTGTGAATTATTGTTCTTAAGATAATGTTTGTGAGTGTTTTTAAATGTATCCACACTTCTTTCCAATATCATTTATAATTATCATAAAGTTTGAGAATGTTTTCTTCAGGGCTGGTCCATACTTCACCACAATACTAAAATCATCAGCATAGTCAAGCATTTGAATCATCTGGCCAAAATTTGTATCAGATGTCTGTATTCCTGAGTATCTTACCACTTATTCCGGTTAAAAAAGAGACTTGTCAGTTCATTTCATTGTCTTAATCCCTTCCGCTGATAACTCAACAAAAAAATCACACTGTCTTTTTGTGCTCCCACTATTAGTGGTCAACTAAAATTCCCTCATAAACCTTTGTGTCGTAAATTTTGTTTTAAATATTGTAACATTTCTCTTATATGTTTTAGCTAATAATAATACCTCAGAAGATTACCTAATACTGTTGCGGTACTTCCAAAAGAAATAAGAGGTTGTTAAATAATAAACAAAATTATAAGGCTATTAATATATTAAATTTAAATTTATAATTATTTTATCTCTGGTGTGGGTTACTGACAATCAGATCAAAACACTCAGACTAACATTAACTACACTAAACAATGTTTGGTTTTAAAATAATGTCAAGTATGCATTGGCAAGCTAACTTTTTTCTATATACAATGTTTCTTCCTTTGTGGCACTGAATTAATTTGTCTTCAAAGGGTTTCCAATGTTCTCCCAAATACAAGTTCCAAAATGGTGACATTTTGGTTCATCTATTCAAATCAAGCTGCCTGGGAGATCCTCTCTCTTGTATTTCCAAACAACTCGTCTCTCTGCCAAACAACAACTTCCAAGATGGTAATACTATTACTGGGTTTAACCCATTGGAGCCAGGATCCCTTCTCCCATCCTCTCATCATCCCAGCCAACCACAAAACTGCTTGCCAAAACAAAAATCCTTTGTCCCTACTCTCCTTTGGGATTTTCTTTTCTAGGGAAACTACAGAGCAGCCATTTTCTTTCCCCAGAACTAGTAGAACTAGATTAGCTTGCCTTTCAACTGTTACATTAATTTATTAGATCATTTTTAACAACTTTCAATTAAGGTGTATATTACAACATATGAAAGCAACCTCTTTTGGAGGCTATTCATATTTCAAATCCAAACCACATAAGTTTAAGTAGTCCTTAAAGAAAAAAAAATGCGTTCTTATATTTAGTACATTATAATTTAGTAGCATTTGGATCTACATTTGTTCATAGTATTAAATATTTCAGTTATTTGTAATGTATTATAATTGAATTAGAGTTGTAATAATAAAAGAATTACAATAATAAATTAAATAAAAACATTTGTATTATAAAGAAACAACTAACAACGAAAATAACATATATAATAAGGATTCCGGGGATCATTACTCCAGATAGTAATCCGATACCCTCAGTTAGCCAGTCATATCACATAAAGATATATTGTGGCGGTACATTTCGTCGCTCTGACACAATATATATACGGAGATAACTGGGTTTCTGTAATCTGATCCATAGCCGAAATGGTATGCTCAACACAAAATGATTTCCTACTTGTGCGTAGAATGTGAAGATATTTTAATTGGAATGACCAATTGATAAATTACCAGAAAATATCAACAATACCATTATTGAAGAAAATGTCAACAACTCAAAAAAATGGCATTAAAAAATACGCTATTGTATAACTAGAATTTTACTTCGTCCAATAGATATATTACTTCCTCGCTAAGGAAGGTAGGGAAGCATTGTATTCGTGCGAGAGGTTAAAAAAAATTATGTGCTTAGAATCGAAAATTTTCACTCGCGTTTTACGTTTCAGACATCAAGGATCAAATTTGGTTCGGTGTCTGTCTGTCTCTAGTCAAATCGATGTAACCAGCATATCACCTACTACCGTTTATGCAATTTTCATGAAATTTTCAGGAATTGTGCTAGTTGTTGTCTAGATGGTCCTATATCAACTTTATTAAATTGAAACCAGCACTTTCGCTACGCTCGCGCAAACGCATTTTTGTAGATATGCCAATATTTCAGAAACTGCTTGTTCGATTTGGCTCAAAGTTGGATAAAAGGTAGGTATTTGTGAAAAAGAACGTATGGTCAATTTTATTGAATTCTGTCCACTGCCTTCTCTTATACACTATCAATAGTGAAATGCATGTTCAGTATGCATTGTTATTTTATTTTAATCAAGAATAACCAATATGGAATCTTCAAATACGGCCCTCTTTTGCATTTTAATATTATCTAAAAAACGAAATTCGTGTATATCAAACAAGGCGAATGTTGAAGCGTGGGTAACTGTATTTCCGAATCGACTTCTCCCAGAGATTTTATTCTCATACGAAAAATTGTACACCTTGTAATATACATATATTTTAGCCAATGAAAACGGTGAGGAAGCTATACTGACTTTACTTGGCAGATGTTGTGACAAACGGACAGTTAATTGCTTTCAAATATTTTAAATGAACGTCTTTCGATAAAATTAAGATTTATTTACAGGGTTTTTCCATCCGCACGAATAGACTAAATCCCCTTTCATCAATTTAATAGATTAACACTATCGATGAATTAATTGTTGTACATCAACACTGAAGATTGAAACAAACTAATAAAACAAGTCTCATTAAAATTTAAAAAAACAATGTTATTCAAACCTATCTAATGTTATTTCAAGATAAAGAAATTATGGGATATCAACAATCTTCTAGATTGGAAACATATAGGTTCAAAATAATTTATTTTATTTTTAAAAATAAAGATTTTTGTTATTATAGAAAAAAGACATATTTTGTGAAATCATCCGTATTCATATTGTATCTCAAAACTATCATTAAGTACATGTTACGTAATTTATTTATTAATCGTCAATGGCGATTTGGTTCTCAATCATTTTGCTAGATTCATTCTTACTGAATAATAAAACTTTATTCGTCGTTTCCATTGTTTCATGGATTTTTTTTTAATATACCTACCATATTGATAAAAGTTTGATACACATATATATATAAATATTATTGCCTAATTCCTTAGCACGGAAGCAATATATAAAACAATTATTTTTAAAATCTTAATAATATTTTCAAATTTAACATATAATTTTTACAAACATTTTAAAGTATAGAAAAAATATAATACTAGTTGGATCGGGAGAATAATTCGCAAAAAATCGTCCAATGAAAAGAAAATTATAATAATATAATAACTTCATCCATGTTTTAAACCAAAATGTTTACGTATCGCAATAACGTATATCTCAACTAATAATGGTTCGGATTTGATAATTTATTTTTTTATTTTTTAGGAAATTTAATGATTATGGGCACAATCAACAACAAAAATTAATAAAAACAATTGTATAATTTTTGAGTTATTGGTAAATAAAATTTATTTTCTTTCTTAACTGTTTTCCTAAAATCGGTAGGAAAGATCCCTCTCCCCTGTAGAAGAAGATTTTCAAAATTAGGACTCAATCACAGAGGTGCCGAGAAAGGGGTTTTATGGCGCAACTTGCGTCATTAAAAGTTTTTAGGGGGACATACATATTTTGACGGGTTTTGGATTTTTCGGGGGGAGAGAGGGTGGTATATGACAAGAAGAAAACATGGAGCAGACCGATGGTCTACGAATTTTCTAATTCTACATTACTTTACTCTGTTTAATTTTTTAAAAAAGGTGAACAATAAAGTATCTTGGAAGAGAGGAATAGGTTCTTGCGCTTCTTTGATGAAGAATTGACGATGATAAGGCCTACCGATAAAAAAACATTTGAGAAATAATTTATAAAGATTGAAACCATTATAATAATAAGCACCTGAGCATCAGTGAGACCGAGGGTAGCAGCAAGTTGCCTCCTATCTGGTTTGGTGATGTATTTCTGGAGCTGGAACCTCTTTTCCAAACCTTTCCGCTGCAGGCTGGAAAACACTGCCCTGGACCATGATCTTTTCCTTTTGCCTGACATTCCCCGTTCTTCTGTTTCTCTGACAACTAACCCAAAATGTTTGTAAATATTAATATTCATATATATATATAGGATATTAATGGCTAAACTATGAGAAAAGATTCTGGACAAAATTTACAACAAAACTGTTCATTTGATGCATGGGACGATGTTAAACAGAAAAGGAGTTGTCCAATTTTGTGTTTTCTTATGGTGGTAACGTTTTCTTCCTACACAAAAGTTATTCAATTTAGATAATTAAAAGTTATTTCATAATAAACTAGACAAAATTTCGTTCAAATACAATTAGTTTATACTTGTCAAAACCATTTAAAGCAGACTTTTGAGCGATTAAACAACGTCAAATTGTGTTTTTCATTAAATCATTGATTATTACTGATATTTATTTTATCATTCTACAACTGAACTACAGACACCTCACTTTTTATACAAAGTTGCTTGTTTAATAAGCTTAAATAGTATATAAATTTAGTTGAGGTTTGTTGAAGAATAGAGTTGGGTTCACTGTGTGAAAAATTATATGATTTGATATTCTTTCACTCCAGAATACCTGTATTTTCACCAAAAATAACAACAGTGAAATTATTATAAAGTTAAGATTACTTCTTTTTCTAGCAACCTTACTAAATTTTAGTAAATCTATTTTGAAAATACACTAATATAATAAATCAAATAATTTTGAATGTAGTCAAGTTGTAGGAAGATAAAAAAATATCGAGATAATCAATGATTTAATGAATAACACAACTTAGTATAGTTTAGCCTGTCGAATTCTTATTTGAATAGTTCGATGAAAACAAACTCTACTTGCATTTAAAGGAAATTTTGTCTATTTTACTGTGAACCTACCTTAAATAATTTTTGTGTAATTGCTTTTTGTAAACAAAAAACGTTACCACCACAAGAAAACAAAAAATTGGACTTGTTTTATTTTCTGATCGAAATTGAACCATGCATTAAATGAACTTTTTTGTTCGAAATTTTGTATGAAATCACCTCCCAGAAATTAGACATTAAGAACTGAGATGCCCTGTATATTATTATTGTGTATTATTTTGTATTGTATATTATAATATAAAATAATGTATACATTAATATTAATATTATATATATATATATATATTATTGTGTATATTATTATTGATAAGAAAGAGATATAATTGTTTACTCACTGGTAGGGAAGGGCCTTAATGGCTTGGGAGCGTGAAGAACCGGAGCGGGTTGGAAGTAGGAGTGGTGGAAGTACTGAGGCTGGTGGAGCTGCCTAGAGCAGCAGCGGAGTGCGCTGCATCGGCTGCAACCGCTCCACTCGCAGGCAACAGCTGGGGGCACCCATTTAGTTTAGTAAAAATTAAATTATTAAAAAACTATTTTTAACATTGTTATTTCAAACGTAATCACAAATGATTCTTTCATTTATTATTTTTAAGTATTTAAATCCTGTATCTATTATAATTTCAGCTCTAAAACTTTAAAATAACTATTGTTTTAATTCAAAAAGCAGAAACAAAATTATACTAACTTAAAATATGATATTATGACTCCTTACAGGACTTTTATAATAATTTATACTAGTAGGCCCGTGCGAAAAATTCGCACAGCATATTGTTATCAATTGCCAAATTAATAATAAAATAAAATAATGCAACGTATCAAAAGATAATGTTCAAATGTTATAAAAAATCAAATGTTACTTTATCGATAAATATAATCGACAGAGAAAACAAACATTAATTTAAATCTTCATTTTTGTTTGGAACCACAACATGTTTACAAATTTCAGTAAGCTGTATCTTTGCTAAAAATTGTCCGATTTCGATGATTTTTTTTTTTTTTCATTTCGTATGGAATTTAGTAATCTTTTATATAATCATGGGCGTGACCAAGGGAAAAATGTGTAATTTTTTAGTTATTCGCAAATAAAGTTTGTTTTCTTTCGTAACTTGTTTGCCTGAATTTTCGAGGGGATTGGACTATTTTGCCTGCCTGAAGGATAAGGAAGCCTTCGAAATTGCATCAAAAACATGTATTCAATGACAGTACTACAATTAACGTAAGGTTGTGTGGATGCGAACACAATGCCTTATCTCGAAAATAGTACGGTCTTGCTGTACTCATAAAAATCTTCAAGATCCAATTTGTCCCGTATCGATCTACAGACCTACCACCGCTCCAGTTTCGAAGCCTAGCAAAATGTTTATATCGACTTTATGTATTTTAGAAAAACTAAAGTGGAGAATACGATTCGCTAACCCACCGTGAAATTCTGAATCCAACGGTACCCCATTCAGGGTATTTGAACATGACAGGAGCTTATATTTGATATAAAACCGATTTCGAGCCTTACTGTAATAATATATGTGTTGATGTATGTATTTGTTAGAATTTTATCGTTAGAATAAAAATTTGGTGAGATACGTGCATCACTTTCACTTACCGTCTTGCCTTGAGTAAAAATAGGTATATTCATAGATAGGATCGTAAAAGTAAAAATTATAGGAGGCATAACATATTAATTTAAAACCATTAAATATCGTATTTTTTTTTTCATATTTGTTGAATTTATATATTTTTCGTCACTGTCCGTCTCATTTTGCGTCATTATCTTAAAATTATATCATTAATTATAATGGTGCCGTTGCAAATAAAGAAATTATAAAACCGCTGGTCTATAATATAGTACAGAGGCGGAGAAAGTTTTTTATCATTGTGAGTAGTTTATTATACATATATATTTACAACTTTTCCTTAATCGACCTTTGAGTATTAAATTTAAACTTAACTATTTAATTGGGAATAAGGTCACTTAAATATTATTTAATAAACTATTGAATGTTCATTTCTTCTGTTTATTGGCGTTTCGATCTCGGTATTTTCTTTTTATTAGTCAACCATGGGATCCTCTTCAAAGCTAGAATTTTAAAAAATAGAGCTTTAATTTAAAAAAAAAATACCGGGATCGAAACTTCAATAAACAGAAGAAATGAACATTCAATAAATTATTAAATAATAATTAAATGACCTTATTCCCAATTATATAGTTAAGTTTAAATATATATATATATATATATTTATTTTTTTAGATATGTATATAACTAAAATATATTTATTTTATTAATTGCTGAAATATATTTTAGTCTTCATACTGCCAAAATTAAAATAATTAAATGTGAATTAATATCACTGATATTATTTATAAAGGCTGCACATATACTATTGGAGTCTGCATACCCTTGCCTATGATATAGGATATTATGCACGTTCGCAAATAATCGTAAAATTCCGACCTCTTTTCCAGCGGCTTGGTGGTTCTCGTAGCGGCCTTCGTTATTTCTCAGTCCCATCTTACTAAAACACTCCGCCGTTACCTTATTTTAAGAATTATGTTTTTAACAAGTACATCAACTTTAGTTTATTAAAGAATCCCCATCAACTTTAGGTCCAATCGAATGAACTGTTTTTGAAATGTTGTCGTATTGAGGGAAACATGTCTGCGAATCAATAAGAGAGATACCTTAAATGGGAGCTGGTAATATTTTTTTTCAGTTTTTTAATAGTCAAATTATAGAATAAATTAGATTAAACTTTTATCTTCGTTAAGTAATATCTATTTAAGTTGTTCATATATGCATAACAATCGGTAACTGATACTTGGTGGAGGAACTAATTCGGCGAATTATTGCCCTAGTTTTAAATATTTCTCTACGTTAAAGTAACCGGATTGGAAGTTTCAAGATTCGTGGGACCACCACAAATTAATTTTAACTCGCCGAGGGAGGAATCGAAGCCAAAACGTTTCGGACCAGATACATTAAAATAGGAACCTTCTCCTTAACGAAATTGACCACCACGGCCTCTAACTTCATTATTAGATGTTTCAATAATTATAATATAATAATTCAATAATATATATATTTTTAAAGACTAATAAATCAGGCTATAATTAATACCTGATAGTATCTATGATGATGAAGATACACAAATACGCTAATAAAGAATAGGTAGTGCACGAATCTACTAAATACATCATTCATATTAGTATACGAAATTATTTTGTCATAAGGAATGTCTAAATTTCTTACAACCCTCAGATTTTTAAGTGTTTTATTTTAACGTTATGGTTGGTATAAGAAACGAAACATGTTTCCCTAGAACACCCCAGTCGTTAGGTGTTTAGGAGAACCATTTATTGAAAGCACCTCGGAGGTTGGACTTTGAGGGATGGGGTTGTGTTTTGGATCCGATTGACTAATTTCCTCTTTTTGTAGCGACTGTTTGTAAATGGTGAGGTTGCCGGGAGGTAAACATCTGCTAGGCCAATAGATCACTCCTCTTATAGTTTCTTCTGTAATCCTTTAGATTTGGTGCCTCATAGCGTTTTATCTCAACATTTTGATAGATCGTTTAATCTTTTTTAGTCGTTCAAACGATTATTCGAAAGATGGAATTTCCTCATAAAACCTCATTTTCTTATAGCGATCGCTTCTGGATTTACAAGCAGTAAAGTGGGGCACAGTTGTTGAAAAACGGAAAACACTATTTTCCCACGGTAAGAGAAAAATCATTTTTTATTTCACCATTTATAATTATTTATAAATAGTGAAATAAAAAATGATTATGAAAAAACATGTTAAGCTTTGAAATTAAGATTGAGTAAAGATATCTATAATATCCAGGGTTTGAAATAGATAATTATTCTTTTCACAAAATCATTATTATATTTATAATTGGTAAATGGTTGACTGTCGTGAATTATGGGGAGAAGAATAGTTGAGGTGATCAGTCAAATAAGAAGGCAAAAATAAGTGACACTATTTATTTTGACATTAGCCAACGTTTCGACCTGAAGTTCAGGCCATCATCAGGGTTAAGAAAAGAACCAGATAACAAGGTATGAGAAACATAAGTAGTGTAGGAAAAAAAAATTAAAGTAAAATTCAGTTGTTAGAATAATGACAATAGTAAGAACAAAGAGATAAATGATAATAAGCGGTACAAAGTCTACATTATTATATTTGATTTTTAATTTAAAAATAAAAATTTAAATCGATCTTTGATTTTCATTTATTCGATTAAAAATAATGATCACTCAGTGAGTGATACGGTTTACATAAATAATAATGATTAAATTGTAATAAAAAAAATTTAGATCATAAAATAAAAATAACCTTTTACTCACAAATTAAAGAAAATGATATATATATTTGTGAATCAACATTGCTAATGAATTTCGGAAATAAAGATGTTCTGTTGCTAATGGTTGATAAAATTTTCTTTCAACTACTCCAGGCTCAAAATACATTATAGAGATTTTAAACAAAATTTCAATTTATGATTTAAAAAAAAAAAATTATTATTGTTGTTGATTTTTTAAAATTTTAATCAAAAATAATGATCAGGATATGATTTTTATCACTTATGATAATAAATAAAAATCACTCTTGATAGATATCATCAAATGATTGTTAAAAATTCCAAATAAAAATTTTGATCTTATTTGATTTTCATTTTTTTAATTAACGGTTTCAAACCCTGATTGTATCTATGGAGATCGAAAAATCGTCAGCTTAGCGTATGGCATTAATTTTGGATTATATGTGTAATATATATATTGCAAGTACAACCACGTTAAAGTTAAACTTAACAACTATGATAAAATTACAAATACATATTACAACCAACACAGTTCTTATCTGTTTTTTTTTAATTTTTAACAAAATTTTTTTAATACAAATTTTTTTATCTGACGAACAGTCATTGATGTCGCAGCAAACCCCTCTAAATTGCCATAACGGTCTATATGAGTACCCTCTTTTCGACAAAACTGTGCAATAAGAATTATTTTACTACTAGGAGATCTATGAAAGTTAAACGGAAATGCTGAGGAGAGAGGGGAGTGTAAGAAATTTATACAAGTCTAAGTTGGTTATCGATCCTAGACATAGATTATATTAAAATATATCACTTGGTATAGATTGAATGAACAGAACAGATACAACATTTTATGAAAAGCTTATTTCCAAAAATGTAAAATATTTCAAGGGGGCCAAATGTAGCGAGTTTAGACACTAGCCTCAATGGTACTATACACTCCAAAGCTGATTGTACCCCATGTCCAGCGGCCCATACCAGGCCTTCCTTACAGCATCTGCTAAATTGTTTTTCACTGTTCGTCTCCCTCAAATATTGGGCCTCCTATGCCTGCCCCTTGTCGCTTTAAACATTTAAGTGCACGCTGTATTTACAGTCGGATTGCAGCGACACTGATTGTCCATCAATCCGAGAATTTAATCTTATCTCAGGGCGCTACATCAAATATTTA